TGTGTGTGTGTGTGTGTGTGTGTGTGTGTGTGTGTGTGTGTGTGTGTGTGTAACTATGTCATCCTAGAACTCACTTTGAATACCAGGCTGGCCTTGAACTTTGCATTCTACCTGCCTCTGCCTCCTGAGTCCTGGGATCAAGGGTGTGTGCCACCCCCACTCCCACCCCCACCTCTTTGGCCCTTTCTATATTTAAAACAGGATCTCACTAACTCACTTAGTAGATTGGGCTAGCTTGGAATTTACAGATATCTTCCTGCTTCAGCTTTCTGAGTGCTAGGATTAAAGGCGTACAGAACCATGCCTAGCACCTTTTATTTTCATTGAACATAAGTTACCCTTTTAACTATGGTCAGTGAGTATCTAAAACCTGTTGGGATCTGTTTTCCTTAATAATAGACACCTAAACATTACTTTAGTGGCTTTTGCTGTCAATAGGCATGGGTTCAATATTACCATGCTTCTGTTAGAAGCATCTGGAAGTGCTTCTCTTTGTTACCCAGTTTTTATTACCTTAGAGGGGTGCAAAGTGCAAAAGTATTACTGAAATATGTCATGTTCTTGTATGTACATGGTTTGATTTTAGGAATGATTGAAGTTGTAATAGGATTCAGGCAGCCTGTTAGGAGCTATGTCAAGTGTTGAGTGACTTGTGGGAGATCACAAACGATGGAGCTGTTCTTTCTTACCTGTTGATAGGAACTTAGCCTGGTCACATGGCTTCTGTACTTTTAACTCCACCCATTTATCTAGGATTTAAGATAACTAAAGAAAGATACAACCATGGTCTGGAGTATTGTTGAAGATGCCTGTATATTCTTTTTAGTGAATTTTAATTGTGCATTTTTGTATGTGATTTACAGACAGATGCCAGTGTCAAGGCCATATTTTCTAAAGTGATGGTTATTACAAGTAAGTGTTTTAAATCTTTTATAAATTTTAAGTTAATTGGAGGATTTATATAATTTAAGTTATTTTAATTTTACATTGTAATAATCTAAGAAATTAGTGTTTTTGCTTGCTATACAATAGACAACTCACTTTCCTTTTTCCCTGATTTCCATTTATTCTGTGTACTGTCAAGATTTTTACATTTTCTTTATTACATAAGGAAAGTTTGAGAAAGAATTTAATATGTGTGTTATTTTTGAGAATGAAGTCATTACATAAGCTTAGCTGTGAACGTTGAGTGTGCATTGTTGTTTCCTTCGTTGATGCCAGCCTCTGGCCTTAGTTGCTTTTCCCCCTCACCTGGTCACTGTATATGCAGCTTGTTTTGTTTTGTTTTGTTTTGTTTTGTTTTGTTTTGTTTTGTTTTGAGACAGGGTTTCTCTGTATAGTCCTGGCTGTCCTGGAACTCACTCTGTATACCAGGCTAGCCTCGAACTCTCAAACTCAGAGATCCTCCTGCCTCTGCCTCCCAAGTGCTGGGATTACAGGCGTGCGCCACCACCGCCCGGCTGTATGCAGCTTCTTGACAGGAGAACTGGGAGCACCTGGTCGAGTGGGTGTACCACACTTCACTTGGCAATAAAGAGTTGTAGGCTGAACTAAACACTGTAGCTGCTTTAGAGCGAACACCAAGGTACAATAACGTAGTGTCTGTCACTTGGCGGCTCTCCTGAATTCCACTTTGAAGAGACCATTCAGAACTAAGCTGCCACTGAGACTCAGGTAGTAGAGCTGTCTCAGCCAGCCCTTCCTGGAAGCTCTCTAGCTGTTAGTCTGGTTCTCTGCAGTTGGCTGTGGATTATTCTCTTAAGGACCCCATTCTCTGTTGTCGTTTTTTTTTTTTTTATTATTCAGTATTCACTTTTCTTCTAGAAAATAAAATCTTTTCTAGATTCTGTTTCCAGAGATGCTAGTATCTTGCAGGTGTTACTAGTATAGAGAAAAGGGTTCCTATGCATTTATAAAATGCTGAATTAGGTTTTTTGGTGATGGTTTCTGTTTTCCTTCTTTGATATCACCATCCTTTATATCATTTTCCTAAACAACAGGCCTTAATATGATGCCTATTCCAGTAAAGGGGCTCTTAAATTATTTAGAAACACTATTAAGTCCTCAATACTGTTAAATTCCAATGAATTATTTGGAATCTTTGGAACATAATATATAAAATTATACATTAGAACTTTTAACAGCTTGTTCCCAATACTTTTCTGCTTAAATTTTACTTTTTAAGAACTATTATGCGGGCTGGAGAGATGGCTCAGTGGTTAAGAGCACTGACTACACTTCCAGAGGTCCTGAGTTCAAATCCCAGCAACCACATGGTGGCTCACAACCATCTGTAATGAGATCTGATGCCCTCTTCTGGAGTGTCTGAAGACAGCTACAAGTGTACTCATATATAATAAATAAATAAATCTTTAAAAAAAAAAAAAAAAAAACTATTATGCAGATACTCATATGAGTCCTCATGTTTGTTTATTTTTGAGACAGACTCTTACCATATAGCCCTGGTCACGCTGTAGACCAGGCTGGCCTTGAACTCAGAGATCCACCTGCCACTGGCTTCCAAGTGTAGGCCACCAAACTAGTCCTCTCTTTTTTATGCTAGTTTTTTTTCTTGTATGTAGAGGCTTGAAAGGACCACATAGCAGGTATCTCATGTGATTAGTATAGGACAGTGTTCTTACTACAGGCAGTGGTCATTACTGCTCAGACTTAAGGATTTCAGAGACTTGTAAATTTTCTGTTACATTAAAGATAGTTATAATTTCTTTTATTTGCTATGTTAGTCTAGTTTTCTCTGAGCAATTAAATTGCTAGGAAAACCAGAACCAGTTAAGATCACCATTTTCTTAGCTCCTTTAAGAGCTGTGATGCACACAACAGAGGAGTGCTGTGGTGAATTCTGCAGAGTGATCCTTTCTTGCCAATAGTGACTTACGCAGTAGTCAATGCTACTGGGATGGTGTGCTCAGTGCCTTTCAGTAAGCACATGCTGCATGTCCGTGTGGATAATCGGGGGATGGTGTTAACAATGCCCAAGGAGACGTAAGGAATGTAATAAATGGGCTCTCCTAGGGACTTCTGCCGGAAAGTGTGAGCAACGGCTAAGGAACAGGCTGCTGCTTAGGCTACCACTCGGTGTCTTCAGGTGATGTCAGGAACTCTTTAGAAAGGCTCAACCTGTGGACGTCTCTTAACCCTGATGCTTTTTCCTATGTTCTCTGAAGTGAATTTTTCTTACAGAAAGTATTGATGATGCTTCCCAGTCCTTTAAACTAAGAGCAATTTGTAGATAAGGATTATTAATTAGAAATACAAAATAGAATGTATTTTTTTTTTATCAGTTTGAGAAATTATGAAACTTTATTTTATTTTAAGGAAATTTGCCAGATCCTGGTAAGGCCCAGGACTTCATGAAGAAATTCACACAAGTCTTGGAAGATGATGAGAAAATACGGAAACAGCTGGAAGCCCTTGTTAGTCCCACATGCTCCTGCAAGCAGGCTGAAGGCTGTGTGGTAAGGGGACAGCAGGGAGAGCCCGTGTGTGGACACCCATGTGTGGACATGCATAGAACTCTTTCTTTCAGTACATCTGCCTTGTTTTTACGTTATTTCAATTTACAAAATGTTAAATAACAATTCAGATAAATTATAATCCTTCTGCAGAGAGAGTTGCCATTAACATTGGATTTCATTTCAAAATGAAATTATCCTATATGAAGAGTTTTACACATTTCCTTTCCATTAGTTTTTTTGTTTGATTTTGGTTTTTCGAAACAGAGTTTCTCTGTGTAGCCCTGGCTGTCCTGGAACACACTCTGTAGACCATGCTGGCCTCGAACTCAGAAATCCACCTGCCTCTACCTCCCAAGTGCTGGGATTAAAAGGTGTGTGCCACCACCGCCCGGCTTAGTTTCTGTTTTTTTAAGCTTAGCTATAGAGTTGTGTTTTTCAGTATTAGGATTACAGAATGTTATAGGTTCTTAACATTTTAAGATAATGATATGTTTACATATATTTTTATAATAATTTACAAATCTGCATTTCAGCGTGAAATAACTAAGAAGTTGGGCAACCCTAAACAGCCTACAAATCCTTTCTTGGAAATGATCAAGTTTCTCTTGGAGAGGATAGCTCCTGTACACATAGATACTGAATCCATCAGGTATTTGTACTTAAGAATCTTACATTCCTCAGTGCTTTCCAATCATGCACAATTACAGTCATGTCAATCACAAGTCACCAAGTCAGCTGCTTATCTGTATTTATATGTGCAGTCATCTATACTCTATATTTGTGTGTGTAACTTGTATTCATTCATATTCACTTGGCTAGCTTTTCTTTCTCACTTTGCTTTCACTTTAATACTTCAGAGAGCTCAAAAGGCTATCTCTGGGTGATACCATTTTATCTAGGAAGAAAGCATAGCTAAGATTTTGCTTTTATGGAAGTGGGAGATAGAGTATCGTAGGCATTGAAGTTACATGCCAGAGTCACTGGGTAGGGATACAGGGGGTGTTTTGAAGCTGACTTCCGTCTGTTACAGTACAGTATAAAGAGGCGGGAGTGCTGTGTGCCTGGGTTTTGATGTGGACTGCTATTAACGCTGAGCTTTGGGCTCTGGTTTGCTCTTTATCCTTTGGGAACCACGGATTGGGGTACTGAGTGGAGGAGAGAGATTACTTAAGGTTTTGTTGTGGTGGCCTATGAATAGATGCTACTAGGATGGGAAGAATATACGAAGAACATACTTGAGGAAAGTGTAAAAAGAGTACCCCTGGTAGGAGTCGGAATACAGGTTTTAAGTCCACATAATGAATCCTGATATCTTGAAGAGAATAAAAAGGGCCTTCTCTACCCCGCCCCCTTTTTTGAAGTAGATAACATGTAATTATTCTTTGGACATGGCAAGAAATTTTTTTACTTTCTTCCCTTCCTTTCCTTTCTCCCCTTTCTGTGTGTCTTGTATTTGTTTAGATAAGGTCTCTGTGGCCCAGGTTGTCGTTGAACTCACTGAGCTTGTAGCTGAGGATGACCTTGAATTCCTGATCCTCCTGCTTTTTTATCCTCCAAATTCTGGGATTATTGGAATAAGCCACCACACCTGGCTAAGTTTTTTGTTTTTGTTTATCAAGTAACATTGAGTTTGAAATGAAATTATGAAAATTGACTGCTATGCTGAAATTGAATAGAGAATAAAAAATAATATGGTCAGATACGGAAACCTTTTTACAATATAGAAATTAGAGAGAAGTAAGAAGACCAGGTTGTTTAAGGTTTCTACAACTTAAAACTGGTGAACGTTTTCACAAGTAAGGTATATGCTATGAGCTGACAGACTGAGGACCAAGAACAGCCCTTTGGTTTCAGGAACTTACAGTTATCCAGAAGGTATATGAGAGCATAAAGAGCAGCCAGAAGTAGCAGTTTCTACTTCAGATAACTCTGGGAGAATCTTAATATTTCTCTTGGTGACTTTATGGAATGGGAACCGCCTTACAGGTTCGGAACAGTGGCAGGTGTTAAATTAGACTCAGGACATGGCTGCAGAGCCTTCAGAGAGATGCTGTGTTAGTCTCCTCAGGCAGTCTGACTGTCTGGACAGTGCCTTTCCGTTTCTGCATTTTATAGATGGGTGAATGGTGATACCTTTAAGGTTTTTTGTTTGTTTGTTTGTTTTTGTTTTTATTATAACTGATAGACATTTAAATAAGGAGAAAAACTTCACCAAACATTTCTTGGCTAATTATATTTCTTTGGGGGGAATTCTTTTATTTTTCTATGGATACCTCAGAGGAACATTTTTTGTTTTTTGTTAATTGATTACAAGAATGCTAAGGCTCTAATCCTAACGTTTTATTCTAGATCTATTAATTAATAGTAAATTACATAATTGTTTTTGGGTTTTGATTTCTTTTGGACTTAAGTAATTTTGTTTTCTGCATTTTCATCTGTAATTGGTCTGAAGTTTAATGGAGACCTCAGGATTCTTCTGTTTTTATTGTACATGATAGTGAGTTGAATTAATCATTTATTGAAAAAGTTGATCCATTTTTTTGACGTGTTTACTCATTGTTGGACAAGTTCTTATATGTTTTGCATGGACCCATGCTGTTTTTTCCTGAGGTACTTCTAGCAGATTTGTCTCACAGAGGGAAGCTTTTTGCTTCTCCTCGCATTGGTCTTCCAGATGGGCAGGAGTGTACATGGGTTCAGACTTTCTGTTCCCCAAGGACATGGGGATTCTGTCAGCAACTTGTATTCCTAAATATCTTATGTATTTTGGCTTCTCAGTGTAAATACCCTCTGTGCTTTTTAGCTGATTCTTGCTGATAGAGAAAATCACTTGTTCTGAGAGCGTTGTTTGTATCACCTCACTGATTATTTTTTTATTATTATTTTTGGGTTAATTTCTTAGCTTAACATACAAAGTGTGTTTCATTACATATGATATACTTGCCATTTGTTCCTCACTGAATACTGAAGCAGATTTAAAAGTAGTTTGCCAATTTTTTGTTTTTCTGGCTGATGCTTCCCTTGAGGCTGTATGTCTGATTACTCATGTTCCTCAGCTACGTTCTGCGTCTGTCATTCTGTCTCTGACTTTCTCTGTAGTTCTTTTTAGATGATACTGTTAATATGTGTGTGTGTTTACTTACTTGTGGCCTTCCTACTATTATTATAGAAGAAAACAAAAGTTAAAATGTTTAATTTTCCTACTTTATAGAAGAACTGTGGAACTGTTGGCCATATGATTCAGGTTGGAGATTTTTTTGGAGGGTAATTGGAGGTATGAAAGTAGGGAAAAGTCATTTTGTGGAAACTTAAAAGGTAAAACTTACTTAGGAAAACAGTATGTAAATGAAAATATTTGAGGGAAATAAACATTTTTTAGTGTGGACATGATTGTGTATATGTGTGTGTGTAGAGTGGTGCATCTGCAGGGACCCACGGGTGGAGGTCAGTGTTGCTGGAGATACTTAAAACAGCGCCACCGAATGGGGGCCGCCATGTTCCCAACTAGGCAAGGCCTGTGGCCATGAGCGGCAGCAGCATATTTTCGCCACCAGCTTAGGCGGCCAGAGACACCAGCCCTGCCACCCACGAGATGCCAGCGTGGGAGATGGCTCTGCCAATCTTCCACGCTGTCTCCACAAGGCTGGGCTTTGCCCAGGCCATCCTGCCATCCACACGGGCTCGGTAGGAAATGAGATTCTAATGCTTAAATATTAATCAAAGGCTTTATATGTTTGGTATTGCTCAATAACAATATGCCCATACAATTAGAGGTGCTTCCCAATTAACTATCCTAAGTATAAGTTGTTATCTGTGACTGCTCTCCATACCTATTTGGCTCTTCATCCTCCTAAATCTCTGCTCTCCTAGCTCCTCTTCTTCTTCCTCCTCTTCCTCTCCTTACTCCTCCCACAGGTCAGGACCACTTACAGGATTGGGTCTTTCCTACCTTGTGTGTCCTGTGACTGATGCTCAAGTAACCAGGCTGGGTGGCAAATGCTGGTAAACCCTGAGCCATCTTGCCAGCCAAAAAAATAGACTTTGTATGTAAGAAAATTCTAGATTCTTGTTGGAGAGACAGATATACTTTATTCCACTGTTGATATTAAATTTGAGCATAAAATATTTTTTTTGTGTTTTTGGGGTTTTTTTGTTTTTGTTTTTCGAGACACGGTTTCTCTGTGCAGCCCTGGCTGTCCTGGAACTCACTCTGTAGACCAGGCTGCCCTCGAACTCAGAAATCCACCTGCTTCTGCCTCCCAAGTGCTGGGATTAAAGGTGTGTGCCACCACTGCCCAGCCAATAAAATATTTTTGAAGAAACAACTCTACTAAATATTTTAAGGAACATTGCACAAACTTTTACTCTGGTGTGTTTTATATCTATACTGTTACTTTGTTACTTGATGCTTGTAAAAAGAACAACTGCGCATTGGTGTAAATGATTGCTTTAAGTCAGTATCAGTGCATTTCTAATGTTTGTTTACAGCAAGATCAGCCTGTTTCTAAAGCTGAAAAACATTGCTGATTTTCTCATGGTCTCTTTTACAAGGTTTTGTTGTATCTGTTACAGTTTTAGCAGCAGGTCTGTGATTTCTAACTCTTAGATTTTTATCGGACACAGAGTATTATGTAGTAAATAGTTTTAGAATGCTAGCCCTTCTACTGAAAAGACACTAGTAAAGGAACAGATGGCCGTCAAAAAGAGCAAATCAGGTAGCACTTTGGTCTTATTTGAATGGGTAAAGGAAGAGAACATACTTTGAAAAGATATTTTGCTGTTATTTGTTTTATGACAATGTTTATGAAAACAACCGTACAGAAATATTGTATATTGTGTAGCTACTTAATATGTAGGTACTTAATATGTATGTATTAGTAGTAGATACTGCTAGTGTATTATACTTGGAAGAGATAACACTTCTGTTTTCTTATCATCCTTTAGTGCTCTTATCAAGCAAGTGAATAAGTCAATAGATGGAACAGCAGATGATGAAGATGAGGGCGTTCCAACTGATCAAGCTATCAGGGCAGGCCTTGAGCTGCTCAAGGTAAGTACTTGTCTAAAGTGTCTGAGTAGACAGCCAGATCCGAATGTTTGTTTTTAAAGGCCTCACTGTAGCTCTGACTGGTCTGAATGAAACTTGATACCTAGGTACAGATCTGCTAGCCTTGCTTTCTAGATTCTGACATTGGGGGCTTATACCACTTATTCCTGAGATTTACTTCTCAAAGTTGTATAATCTAATGAGAAGGTGTCTTGGTTTAAAAGAAATAATCAGATGGAAATTTCTTCATGTTTCAGTTCTAAGTTCTGTCATCAAACTTAATGTTAGTTTAGAGGGCTAACCCGAGGACTCACTAGTGATGATAGAGGATGCTGTTCAGAGTGAGCCCTTTGATGACTGTGTGCATCTCACCACATTGTTGACAATGTAACAGTTACAACAAAGTATTCAGAAGCCTTTCATAAACATAGTTTTTAAATTTCATTTTAGTTTTATTTAGTTAAGATGCAGTTTTATTTAGCCTACAAAGTGCTGATCTATTTTGTTTTGGTTTTGGTTGTTAAGGATAAGCATTTCACAGTGATAAAATTTTTAAGAGCTGTTATTGATATGGTCTGAGAGGTTAGTTGCCTCTGAGCACTAATTCCCATGTAATAGATACAGTGACAGTGTCTCATAGAGGGGTGCAGCATGTCACACGGAATCTCCTAGTTCATGCTAGCTCCTAGCAAAAATAGTAATGTGGAATTGCGACGGCTCCACTTTGGCATATCATACCGTTGCTGCTCTCTTATTGTTGGCTATGTAGAACTTTCAAGTTTTATTCATATAAACAGCACTAAAATAAAATTTGTGTATAATGTCTTTTTCAAGCCAGAATGTCATTACTGGGTCCAAGAATTTCTTGGAGATAAACACATATAATTAAAATTTTTGTAGACACAATTTTTTTTTGTTTTTTCGAGACAGGGTTTCTCTGTGTAGCTCTGGCTGTCCTGGAACTCACTCTGTAGACCAGGCTGGCCTCGAACTCAGAAATCTGCCTGCCTCTGCCTCCCAAGTGCTGGGATTAAAGGCGTGCGCCTCCACTGCCCAGCTAGACATAATTTTTTATATATAAATCTCTATGTTCTTCATAAAGAAATTATAAATATAATATATTTATAATATAATATAAATATAAAATAATTTATAATATAAATATAAAAATACTCCTTTCATATCATTTTACAAAGAAAATTTTCCTATATGCCATCCTTGGTGTGGGAAAGTACCAATCTCTTCAATGTTTACAAGCATAATGTGGAAGTACAAACAGTATTGTAAATTCTACAGTGTTGACTTGTGGTCATCCTTCTGTACATTAATAATTTCTGATTCCATTAATTTTTTATTGTTTATATACCTTCTGATAACTCAATCTTTTCTTTAAAATTTTGATTTGGATGAACTTTTAATTTTCTTTGCTTTTTAATTGAAAATATTTGATGAATAAAAATTATTATACTTAGGTTATAAACTGTAGCATCACAGTTAATACTACAGACAAGTGAGTAGAATGTTATGTGGCCAGGTTTCGTCACTTTGACAAGGTACCTAAGAAAGTAAATTGAGGGAAGAAGGACTTATCTAGGCTCATGATTCTCAGACCTTTGTCCAGAGTCACTTGGTTCCATTTGTCTCTGGGCCTGAGGTGAGGCAAGATTATCATGGCAGGGGTCATGTTATAGACTAAAAATGTTTACTTTGTAGCAGTTGAGAAGCACAGAGGAAAAAAAGGTCTAGGGTTTCTTCCCCATATATACTCTTCCAAAAATATATACCCTTCCAAGACACCCCTTAGCTGTGAATTCATAAGTGGATTAGTCCTTTGGGGAAGTTAGAATCCTCATAATCTAATTAGTCTTCATATGCCAATCATCTTGTGACCAGACAGGAGCCTCTAGGGGACATACTTGTAGATTGAACTATACTATTTCCCCTTGGTGTCTAAAGCTCGTTCATCTCATATTGTAGAACATGTTTTCCATTTCATTGGAGCTTCGGGATTTTGGCAGTTCCATTGTTTTCAAACAATTAAACTTTAAAATCTTTGAGAATCAAGGAACATCTTTTCTGAGAGTACTTGTGGAAAGTCAAAAACAAATCACATGCTTTTGATGTGGACAAGGTATACTTATCTGTTCCAAAAGGGAGGAGTGGGTGCATAGAAAAGAGGGGTGGGACTGAAGCAAGGTCAGATTCTAGCAAGGGAAGCATTGGATCCTGTAACTCAGTCCAGCATCTGCAGCACACAGTGTGAGCTTCAAAGGGCATGAGCAGCCCTGTCCCTATACCCTTTCTTCCTATAGGACTTATCATCATTCTTATGGGCTAGTTCTCTGCACTGGCTAGAATTTTCCTTAGCAGACATTTTGTGGACTGGCATCTCCACCTCTCTAGGGTCTTCACTACAGCCCTGAGTTCACTCTTAGCGCTGCATATCACTCTGTCAGGGCTGTCAATAGGGGATCTGATCTGAGTTTGAAGACTGCATGGAAATTTCCATGACTCACATCAGTTGCAGTTTGCATGTCTGAAAAGCTAGCATCAGATGGAAGATGCCATAGTCACCGAATTCAGTCAGGCGCTGGACACAGTTGACTTTGTCTGCAGCAGTCATGCTAGGAAGTGATTTCTGGGCAAACGACCACTTATCTGAGCAGGGCATATTAGAATCCTCTTGCTAAAGCCTTTCAAGTGGTTTCATGCTCTCATATTCTTGAGTCTGTGCCCTCATGACATCCTTCCTACTGTCTTGAAGCAGAGTATTTGGCTTCTTTTTGTTGATCTCTTTGGTAACCACTTATTCTTTAACCCAACTTTCTTCATAGGTAAACTGCAAATTTTACATTCTTTGTTTTGTCTTTTTGTTCCTTATTCTTCCTGTAATGCTGACTAAAAGCAGCCAGTCATCTTCATGCTATATTCCAAATGCCAAAGTATCTTGACATTTTCCATACCAATTCTCTACCATCACTTTTAGATATAGCCTCACATACATTCTCAGGGCACCAACAAAACAGAGACAACTGCTTATCTTATGGCGGCCAGGAATTAGAGACAGAGTAAAGGAGTTATGTCTTTCATAGGCATGTCTCCAGTTACCTACATTTTATATTCAAACCATATGAAACTATAAATTATATATACTCTGATATTGAATATTCAAAAATGCTTTATTAGTTTCCTGAGTGATTTTTATCTTTGCCATCATATCTATCATATATTTCCCTGAAACTTATATTTATTTTATGAACCTTTAGCTTTCTTATTTGCATCTTTGTTAATAATGTTAATGTTGTTTATTCTGATTATTTACAAATCTTTGAAATAAGAATATATATATGTATATATATAATTTTTATGCTGTTTGGTATTTTTCCATTTTGTATTCAAATTTTACTGTCCTACACTTTGAATCCTGTAATGGGGCTTAGAAGATGGTTCAGTGGGTGAAGTGCTTCATAAGCATGAGAACCTGTGTTTGGATCCCCAGTGTAAGAGGGGCAGAGGCAGGCAGGTCCTGGGGACTTGTTTGCCAGCTCCACCAGCTAAAACTGTGAGCTACGGATTCAGTGGGAAACCCCATTTGGAAAGACAAGGTGAAGAATTATAGAGATACCCAGAGTGACCTCTGACCACCACATACTCACAGATAGACGAGCACACTCATATATTTCACACACAAACTCACACACACACACACACACACACACACACACTCACTCATACAACCAAAGGTTTTTTCTCTGTCTCTCTCTCTTTTTTTTTTTTTTTTTTTTTTTTTGGTTCTTCGAGACAGGGTTTCTCTGTATAGTCCTGGCTGTTCTGGAACTCACTCTGTAGACCAGGTTAACTCGAACTCTCGAACTCAGAAATCCGCCTGCCCCTTCCTCCCAAGGTTTTGTTTGTTTTTTTTTTAATTTAAATATGGCTATTATTGTGAAAGAATATACCAAAAAATGTTTGATGTGATTTTCTCCTACTAGGTATGTGTTTTTCTTGGGAGTAATAATTTTCTATTCCCCGTGTTTTATTTGGTTGTATTTTGAGACCAGGTCTTACTGTATAGACCGGGTTTGCCTCAGACTCACAGTGATCTCCCTGTTTCCTGAGTGCTGGGATCAGAGTTGTGCACCACTAGACCCAGCTCTATTGCAGCTTTTTTGTTCACTTTGTTTTTGAGGTGGTCTCATTGTAGCCTAGGCTGGCCTCACGTTGTAGGTAGTTGAGGATAACCCTGACTTCCTAATCCTTGTATGTCTACTCCTTGATGATGGGATTAAAAGCATGTACCACCAATTTCAGTCCTGTGCAATGTGGGGATCAGATACAGGGCTGTGCGTAGGCTAAGAATGTGTTCTCCTAAGCTGAGCTGCGTGTTGCTGCCTCTTGAAAGTCTGCTATGATCTGGGTCAAGGTTCTTTTTGTTGTTGTTGTTGTTTTGTTTTTGTTTTTGTTTTTTTTCGAGACAGAGTTTCTCTGTTTAGCCCTGGCTGTCCTGGAACTCACTCTGTAGACCAGGCTGGCCTCAAACTCTTGAACTCAGAAATCCGCCTGCCTCTGCCTCCCAAGTGCTGGGATTAAAGGCATGCGCCACCACCGCCTGGCTCTGGGTCAAGGTTCTTAAAATACCGACCTTGTTGCTGCTTTGCTCGATGCTTTCCTTTACTGCTTTTACCATGTTGATCTGGTTACTGTACTTAGTGCCTTGTATGATCTGGTGGTATACATTTCCTAATTTTTTTTTTTTAAAGCTAACCTAGTCTCTTCTGATGGTTATTTGGGAGTGGGAGGAGTAATATTTTTTTAAACTTTCTGTATATCCCCTTTTCTCCTACCCTTATGCCCTACCCCTTAAAAAAATAAGTTATCAAAGTCCAAATTATTTTGACTACAAATATATTAGCCTTCCACACAGGAACATAGCATAGTTAACCCTAAAATGATTTCTGGCTAGTACTATTTGTAGTATGTTCTTTACATGTATATTACAAACAAGGAAAGATTTTACAGGCAATGTTTCTAAACGCTTTGTAGGTGCTGTCTTTTACACACCCTATCTCATTTCACTCTGCCGAGACATTTGAATCCCTTCTGGCTTGTCTGAAGATGGATGATGAAAAGGTGGCAGAAGCTGCCCTACAAATTTTCAAAAACACAGGAAGCAAAATTGAAGAGGATTTCCCTCACATCAGATCGTGAGTTTGGCTTTTTCTGATAAATATTTTAGATATACTGTTTCTAGAGAATTTTAGTTAATTCTTTATGGTTGAGTAGACTTTCCTTTCTTTTGAGGAAAGTTGGTTGGTATTTTAGGTGTATAAGATAGAAGACAAGTATGGTACATCTTTCTGATGCTTCAGTGTTGCTTAAAAACTTAAAAGCCATTTCATTATAAAGTAGTTCCTGGTATACAATAGCATAGGATGGACAGTTCACATGGATCTAAGGCATATTGAGAAATGTCAGAGGTGTTTTGTGTGTGTGTGTGTGTGTGTGTGTGTGTGTGTGTGTGTGTGTGTGTTTTCTTTGGAGCGCATCTATGTAACTTCACCTGTGCAGGTCATAGGGCAGCTCTCAGTAGAGTTGCTGTCTTTCCTAGTGGCTTCCGTGAGAATTGAACTCAGATCATCTCATGTGCACATTAAGTGCTTTTATCTACTGGATAAAATAAGTAAATCTAAAAAGCAAACACCTACCAGAATTTTATAACATTAGTCTGTTTGGTAAGAATAAGAAACACTATTGTTTGGAACTTTTTGTTAACTTTTAAGTGAGTTCAGGATATATGTTTTTTAATGGGATAATACTCTTGCTACTCAAATCAGATCAGAGAGCAGAGTGACTGGACACACAGACTGTGTCTAACTATATACTATATTGTATGTTCACCTGATAGACTATCTCAGTTAAACTGTCTGCACTACCCAACAGAATGTTATTTAATCAAAGTGAGAAATCTCACATTCAGACAAGCAAATGGTTCTAGGTCATAACTAGCAAGAAGTGAATTCGTGATTTGAAGTTAGATTTAATTATAACATCAAATATCTATGGAACTATATCCCTTTAGGCAAAATTTCTATTTTTTTCCTTATTTCTTTTGCGTATTTAGTTTTGTAGTTAGCATGCAAGATAATGGGCTTCCTTATACACTTACATACACACACATACACACACACACATACACACACACACACATATATAATATGTATTTGTCTCCTTTTACTTATATCTTCCCCTTCCATAAAATATAATCAGATTTTTTGTGTGTGTGCATGGAGCTCTGATTGGACATCTTGGCTATTGTGCTGCAGTAACATGGATTTGCAAATACTTTGAGATACTTAGGATTCTTGCTGGTATATATCCAGGAGCAGTACAACAGGATCACTTAGTTTTTTTAAATTTCATTCTGTTTTTTGAGGAATCAGTAGGTTCCTGTAGCAGCCCTTCCAGTCCACATGGCCATCAGCCACGTATAAGGCTCTGTTTCTCAGCTGTCTCTGACAGCACTAGTTTCTTGCATTTACTTTGCGTTTTTCTGATGGCTAAGGGAGTTGAGCACTTTCCCAAGTGTGTTTGTCTTATTGGTAAATGTCTATTCAGTTAATTTGTCCATTATTGATTGACTTGGGGCATGTGGATTTTGGTTTGTTTGGTGTTTGGGATACTTCATAATTTCAGGATACTGATTTCCTGTCATGTACCGAGCTGTTGAAAGCTTCTATTCTGAATACTGTCACTGTTGTTATTTTTGTTGTTGTTGTGCAGTAGGTTCTGAGTTTTGTGCAGTCCCATTGGTTGATTCTTGGGATTATTTCCTGAGCTATTGATGTTATTTTCAGAAAATCCTGGCTCAAGCTTCTAGCCTGAAGCTTCCCGCTAGAATTTTCAGAGTCTTACATTAAGGTCTTTGATCCACATTTGTTCAGAGTGAGACTTTATTTCCTACATGCTCAGGAGATCCAGTTTTTCCCGTGCCATTTGCTGCAGAGGCTGACCCTTTCTCAATGTATGCTTTTGTCACCATCAAGATTAAGGGGCTTGTCTTTTTAAACACTCTGTGGCTAACTTTGGCTTCACATTTGCTTTACTAATTATCTGAATAGTGGTGCCAGCCTGATTGTAGCTGCTTCCATTTGCTTGGTAAATGACTCGGCTCTGTGACCGAGAGTCACTGAACCATGTTTCTCGGATAGGGAGATAACTGGATCTTGTTTATCATCCAGTCAGCTAGTCTGTCTTTTAATTGGAGAGTTAACAAAATTTTCATTTAGTAAGTGAGAGAGGTTTGCTAATTCCTAAAAACGTTTGAATATTTTTCTAGTTGGTTGGATTATTGTGTATTGTTTTACCTTTTCCCTGCTAGTAGTGGTTGTTTTGAGGGCTTACATTTTGAGTATGATAGATTCCTTCCCAGGTGTCTTCTCTCTTCACTCTCTTCATCTTTTTCTCACATGAAACTGGTTTCCTCTGCTCTCTTGAATTCTTTCCTGGGTATGTTTTCTCTCTTTCTCTCTCTCTCTCTCTCTCTCTCTCTCTCTCTCTCTCTCTCTCTCTGCAGTGTTACTGTGATTTTTCCTTGGCACGTGACCATTTGTCTATTTACTTCAGATAGGGCATTGATGATGGGGGGTTTCACGCAAGTTTAGCCTGGTGAGCCGGTGAGTGTGTTGGGGTTCTCTGTAACCCTGGGGGTGAGAGGTCATTTACAGGAGCTCCAGTGATTCAAAGGCGATTGCTTCACCAAAGCCAGCATGGGAGACAGCTGATACAGGGGACATGCCTGGAGCCTCCTGTCTCACTGGGAAGACTTCCCCACAATGTTCTCTGCTTTTACAGCCCTGTGGAGGGCTCTCAGGAGTGTAAATCTTTAGACTTTATGGAGCCTGGGAAACTTGATTAGCATCTTGATCCTTATAAATTCCCTAAGTCATAGGAGCCCCTAATCTCCTTTCCTCTCCAGGAAAAGGATTCAGTTCTGGGAAAATTGCAACACTACAGCTAGAGGGTGACGGGGTGTTGCTTTACTTCATGCTGGTTTTGGAATGTCATTATGTCCTAGTCAGTTCTGAAAGATAACTTTGCTGGATCTAGGAATCTGGTTAGCAGGAAAATATATGCTTTCCTGACTGTTAGGGATTCGTGGGGCAGTCTGGCAAGCTATGTGTTTTCTTTTGTGGGTTGGTGTTTGTCTCCTATAACAGTAAATAACATTGTTTTACACTGCTGTGTCTTGACTATGATGACTCCTCAAGAGTTTCTCTGCTCATGTCAATTTGCCATTATAAATACCTCTTTGTGCTGAGATGCTCATTTTGTTAGGTTTGGGAAATTTCCTACAATTTTATTGAATAGATTCTCTAGGCCTTTACTTTTTTATTGACCTCTCCTGCATGGATTCTTAAATTTGGCCATATCTCCGTGTTCTTGGAAGCTGTTATTAGATTTCACAGTGAGACAAGTGAGGTGCCTGTTAACATATCAAAGTGGACCTGGCCCCCAGGTTCTCCTTGCACCCCTCGTTCCCTACCTGTTACAGAGTCCTCCTGGCTGCTGTAGCCCTCCTTCTACCGGGAGCTCTGCAGCCCAGGGAGCTGGACTGCTCTTTTGCTGTATAATCCAACCTTTTGGTTACTGGCCCTCTATACCTTTGGCCTCCTGGCTGCTGCACCGTGTTGTGCTCTTTCCCTTCCCCCTTCTCTTCACATGGCCTCCCTCAGCTGATCATGTTCTTTTCCTTTTTAATTTCTTTTTCCATTCAGTTGTCAGGATCATTACTTTTTCTCCTTTTAATGTTTGGATGTAGTGTTTTCCTGTCCTTGTAACCATCTCTCGTGAAATTCTTTGATCTCTGTGGTCTAGTCTAGTGTGAATTTTTCTGTTGTGTTTTTTTTTTTTTTAATTTGATTCCTGAGCTTTTTGTTTCCTATATTTCTAAACCTTTCCCTCCTGCCCAGAATTCCAGTTTCCTTTCTGACTTTCTCTTCATTTTTCACCTCTGCTGCTGGCTCTCTTCCAGTCCCTGCACTGATTGATTAGCTGCATTCACTAGCGTCTGTCCTCTTTGAAATTATTGATAACCTCTACAAATAAACTTAGAAATTCTTCTGATCTTAGTATCCTCGAATTAACTGGAGGGATTATGATCTTTTTGAGGATGCTTGTCTTCTTTTTTTTATGCTGTGGTGTGTGTGTGTGTGTGTGTGTGTGTGTGTGTGTGTGTGTGTGCGCGTGCGCGCGCGCGTGTGTGCATATGTATTTCTGAGTTATGATTGACGCATCTATTGTTTTGGCTCTCTTGTAATCTGTGGATCCACTTAGTGAGCAGCTTTTTCTTGAAAGCTCACTCCCTAAAGAGGACAAAGCAAACTACTGTCACAGCAACTACACCAAGCTAAACAAGATACAGAAGGATTTGAAATGATATACCATCCGTGACATAAAATTGAAAATGGCACAATTGATATAAAATGTACAGTGGGCTAAAATCATTCAAGCAGACATAGATTAGCAAATGATTGGGTTTAAGGAAGCAGCCAGGAAAGGGAGAGACTAGAATGGAAGGAGAGGTAACTGAAAGAAAAAAAGCCAAACATGGTGCCATATGCCTTTCATCCTAGCACTTGGGAGGCAGGACCCAGTGGGTTTCTGAGTTTGAAGTTAGTCTGATCTACCCTAGCAAGTTCCAGGACATCCAGGGCTGTATAGGAAGACCCTTCCTGCACAGGTTCAAGCTAGGCCCCACCCCTAACCAAGAAGCTATCTGTAAGTGATGTCTATTGCAAAGAAAGATGCTTCTTCAGTCGAGTCTTACTAGGTCTATGAACCTCACTATAGGCCTCATGCCCAGGAGAAGTAGGCCAAGACAAAAGGAATTCATTGGTATTTCTATAAACTTTTTTTCCCTTTCATTTTGCTCTGTAAGAGCATTTTTGCCTTATTGATCTTTTGCTTGTGTATTTTGGTTTTCATTTGTGTCTGTGTGTATGTGTTGCTTGTTTTTTGAAGAGAAAGAAAAAAAGCATAAAAATTGGGTGGAAAGGACATGATCAAAATCCATGATGTGAGAAGTAGTGTAGTAACGGTGAAGAGGAAGGCACAAGATACTAATATCCAAAGGGAAGAAGATTGCTCAGTAATGAAAAATAGCACACATGAGTATAAGAAAGGAAATAAGTTAAAAAACCTAAAATTTTATTTTTAAGAATAATAAGCTAAGGCCGGGCGGTGGTGGCGCATGCCTTTAATCCCAGCACTTGGGAGGCAGAGGCAGGAGGATCTCTGAGTTTGAGAGTTCGAGGCTAGCCTGGTCTACAGAGTGAGTTCCAGGACAGCCAGGGCTACACACAGAGAAACCCTGTCTCGAAAAAACAAAAACAACAACAACAAAAAGAATAATAAGCTAAAACCAAATAGTACTAAAAGTACAGTAAAATGGAGGAAAGAAATACACATGGAAAAGGGAAAAAAAAAATTACCAACAGTGGAAAACTGGGAACAAGTGTGAGTAAATATCAGAAGGGGAAAAATAGAAAGTCAAAAAGCCTTTTAAAATATGGAATAAAATATCATTAACAGTATAGTAAAATAAGAAGCATAGAGGGGAAAATTCCCTCAAGTATGCTGGAATGTCTTCTGCTACACAGTTAGGAGACGTCTGCCAGAGCCAGCCTAACGGTAATCATTTTCCTTTGTACAGTAGGGTCATCTGCTGGCCACACTTAGTTTATAAGTCTGTGGACTGAGTGCATTATCCCAATTCACTGAGACTGGAGTCTTAATTTTGAGCTTGTTGGTCCCTCTTTCTTGAGATGAATGTAGGCTGGATTGTTTACTTGAGTAAGGATAATTTATCAGTGACTACACCACTGAAGAAAATACTTGTTCCCTGGCAACCATTTACTAACTGCCTGTAGCCACTTGGATGGGCAGGGCCTTCTGAGAACCCCTTTCCCCCAGGATGGAATGTTATCTGTGTAGGTGGCTGTACCTGCCATGGCTTCGTGGTGCCATAGACATGTCATGTCGAGAGAGAAGACGGTATTTGATCGACTCCTCCATCCTCTCTCACTCATGGTCCTCTGCCCCTTCTGCAGTGCTCACTGAGCCTTGGAGAGGGTGATCAAGATGCCTGTTTAAGACCGAGCATTCAGCATTCACTCATTTGACGAATTACGAGTTTTTGTATTAACTGTTCTCCTCTACAAACAGAAGCTTCTCTGACCACGGTTGAAACAGTACTAATTTCAGGATATAAACATAAATTATTCTTGTATATTTATTGCTTTTCTTTGATTTTTTTTTTTTTTAGAGCTTTGCTTCCTGTACTACATCACAAATCCAAAAAAGGACCACCTCGCCAGGCCAAGTACGCCATCCATTGTATTCATGCCATATTTTCTAGTAAAGAGACCCAGTTTGCTCAGATATTCGAGGTAATGAAAAGAAATCTTGATTTCTTAAAAAATAAATACTGACTTTGAAGACTATTGTCATTCGGAGATGTATTATATTGTGTACTGTCAGGATGTGATTTGGTAAAATCAGCATCAGTGGTAGTTAAAATAGGAAAACTGGCTTTACATAAGTTTAAGACTACTTCAGGTTCAGAACTCAAACATTGCATGATGCTCTTTGACACTGCTGTATGTATTATTAGGTTTTGGAGATTTTTCACTGAGTGCTTATTGTATATAATCATAGTTAATGATAGTATTACTATGTCAGCTTACAAGTTTAACAGTTTGAGATTTGAGTATAATTTAGTCCAGTGGGTAATGTAAATATGTTTAGATTTGATAGCTAAGCTAACTGCTAAGATAAAGTGTGCATTTTTAATGTTTCATGCTATTTTCTCTACATGTTAAATAACTTGTATAGTCTCTGCGTTATTATTAAAGCAAACTAACAGAAAAGTCTGTAAAAATGATTATGATACTTACGTCTTCAAAGGGAAGTCAGAGCAGTTTGGAGAGCACACTAAATCTGACATTTTATCTCTGAGATACAAACTTTTATGGTTATTTTATCATTTTCATGTATGATGTTAAAATATCTAGTAAGTTACACTCTGCATCTCTCAAGTAGCACTTTCTGTGTCAAGTGCTTTATTTGAATTTCTGAGCACTTGGTGACGTCTATTTTTATTTTGAAAGATGACTATTAGTAGGATATTTTTGTTTTTATCAATTTTTTTAATGCTAGTCACTTTGAGAATAATATTGATATAGCTTGGATTTGTAAAGTTTTTTTTTGTTGTGTTACCCTTACCATAATGTGACAGACTTGCTAGCTTTTTGAGAAAATACTTCCTAGTGCTTGTTAGCCTTTTTGCAGTTGCTAGTATTCCGTTTTGTTTTTCTCTTATCAAAAATAATTTTATAATATATTGTGTGAAATTGTCAAGTAGTAATAATAATAAAATAAGTACAAATATTTTATGCAACCTCATTTTTGTTTATAGTGTGACCAGTAGAGTAACACTGAGGGAAATGACCAGGAATAGCAAAAGGTCAACTCACCTTGCTTTCATTGAAAGCTCATATGCTCCAGTATGTCAGGAAAGCATAGTTTATGTTGTTGTCAAGTTTGTAATAGTTGATGTTCAGTGTTGGAACATAGACCCCACATTTGCTTTTTGTGCATGTGTTGCTGTGTGTTCCCACTTAGTGCAGTCTTTGTGTGTGAGTTTGCATGCGTCCTGCTTGTAGAGACAAGAGGCCAGCACTGCCTGTCATCCTCAACTGCTCTGCAACATTGCTCTTGAAACAGGATCTCTTGCTGAATCTGGAGCTCATTCATTCAGCTAGACTAGCTGGCCAGATAAGCCCAGGGCTGTGTCTCTGCTTCCCCAGCACGGGCACAGACCACAGATGTATGTGCTCAGCCCTTTTATTTACATAGTGTTGAGGATCCGTACTCAGTTTTTATACTTGTGCATTAAGCACTTGCGCACTGAGCTGGTTTCCAAAGCCATCACATCCTTTCATTACAATGAAGCATTAGTGGTTTAGCTAGGTGCCCTCTTCCCATCTTAGGCACTATGTGTTGTCAGGTAGTAGTATACTTTTCCAGAGATACTTTATTTCATACACAAGTACGGATATAAAAGCACACACATTTTGTATCTCCTTCCCTTAACGCTAATGATGGCATATTTTAGTCATTCTCCTGATTTTCCTATTCTTAAACTTTAACAACACTCTTCAATTATCATTCTAAGTGAGTATGACATTCTTTAGTTGTAACAAAATACTTATTAATGGTTTGGTTTCAAATCATATGAAAAATAGTCTTGTTATGGAATTTAGTACTTGATGCTATAATTTTTCAAGACACCCAAAATTTAGTTAACTACACACAGGAAAAGTTTGTTTTGCTACAGAAAATTCAGTTTTGGTGTTTCAGTGTTCAGAAGGCTTAGGGACACATACTCTTTCCGATTAGTGGTCCTTTGTGTCTCTACTGGAGCCCTGCCCTCTGAACCTAAGTCAGGTAAGTAGAGAGAACTACAGAGAAGGCATGGTGCTTCCTCTGCCTCTATTGACAAGTGTGGCCTACCTCATTTCCATTCCCTCTTCCATGACCAGATTTCACATATCCTCCCTCAACTGCAGGGGAAGCTGCAAGGCAGAATCTTGATGCTTAGGAAGCAGGAGCAGAGTGGATATTGATGAGCCCTAGCAGTCTTTGATGTTCATACACAGTCATAAGATATATATTACATAATAAGATTTTTTTTTTTTTTTGGTTTTTTTGAGACAGGGTTTCTCTGTGTAGTCCTGGCTGTCCTGGAACTCACTCTGTAGACCAGGCTAGCCTCGAACTCTCGAACTCAGAAATCCGCCTGCCTCTGCCTCCAAAGTGCTGGGATTAAAGGCGTGTGCCACCACCGCCCAGCTACACAATAAGATTTATGCAGAAATGTTTCCTTAACTGTTTCTAAAACGTGAGTTGGGCAAAACTGAAAATGCTTAAATGTAGTGTCTTCTAAATGTTGGTAAACTGTAGAATCTATACGTAAGCTTGAGTTGCTGCTTACACAGTCTATACTTCTGTAGTGTTTAGTATTTGAAGGTGGAATACATGAGCAGTATTATGTGTGTGTATAGAGAGTTAAATATATTTCCTTTGCCTCATTTCTAGCCTCTGCATAAAAGCCTAGATCCAAGCAACCTGGAACACCTTATAACCCCCCTGGTCACTATTGGTCATATTGCTCTTCTTGCACCGGACCAATTCGCTGCTCCTCTAAAGTCTTTGGTAGCAACTTTCATTGTGAAGGACCTTCTCATGAATGATCGGGTAAGTTGTGCTTTTAGACTTGTTATCTTCATAGTGTTTGTTCTATAGTTTAAGGAGAGGTGAAATGCCTAGACACAGGTAGACCCTGGAGCTTGTGGCCAGCCAGCTAGCTAACTCAGTGTACCTCACATCCGTGGAGGGATGTGACTTGACACACAAATACACACACAACTGCACACTCACTTCTTAGTGCTAGGGTCTTTATCCTTGTCTTTGCTTAGTAGTCTAAATAACTGAATCATCAACATCTACAAAACAGGTTATGGATTAAAAAGTCAATCCTAGCCCACACCTGCTAAGGATGTCCAAATGTTCCATCCAGGTACCAGTGAGACTATTCCTTTCAGGGATATTTAGTAAATGGGGTTACATGAATCATAAGCATTGTCTGTTGTTAATAAGAAGGGATAAATTTTCTTTATTCAGTAAATATTAGTTGACCATGAGAATTCATGCTTATTATTTTAATGTTTTTGCCTTTTGCCTAGCTTCCAGGAAAAAAGACAACTAAGCTTTGGGTTCCAGATGAAGAAGTTTCACCTGAGACAATGGTCAAAGTGAGTAATATGCAGAAGTCTGTTTTTCTTAGTATACTCACTGTATCAAGTAATAGGTGTGGGTGGCTATTAAAGTTGACTATTCACCTTTATTGTGGTACAGTCTTTCATGTACTGTGAGAGTATAGGGCAGTGATGTGCACCCTGGGGCCTTGTGAGCAGCAGCATGGAACCTAGTTTGAGGGGGAGTGACTTGAAAGCTGCTTCTGTGTTTCTGCTTCTTAGAAATCAGCCTTTTAATGGCAAGTGAATGTTGGTCTCCTCCCTCCTGGATGTACTCTTGTTTAGTAATAATGTAATCTAGACTTTAAAATGACCTTTTCCTTGATATTTTATTAAAAGTTTTTAATAGTTCTTGAATTTGGGCTTCTGTGTAAGGAATTACTTGTCACTGAAATACAGAGTATTGATTTCTTACAGTCAGGTGATATATATCAGGTTCATTTCAGTGTATTTGTCAATATTTGAAGATTAGGAGCAAATATGTAGAATGTTGACATTGTTTTCTTAGACTTTCTTACTACCTTCTGGGCTCACTCCCACATTGTCTGCCCTGCTTTCTTTCTTGTTAAATGTATTTCATTATGTTCCATATCTTGAAGTATGTTTGCATATTGTTCCAGTCTCATGTTCTAATGTGTCTACACACTTGGAGAGCGGCCCTTCCTTCTTTCCTTACAGAAGTTACATCACTGAATGATAGTGCTTGCATTTGGGTCTCAGCATTAGTCTTTCTTTTTTTTTTTTTAAGATTTATTTATTTATTTAACGTATATGAGCACACTGTCCTTGACACACCAGAAGAGGGCATCAGATCACATTACAGATGGTTGTGAGCCACCATGTGGTTGCTGGGAATTGAACTCAGGACCTTTGGAAGAGCAACCAGTGGTCTTAGCCATTGAGCCATCTCTCCAGCCCCTCAGCATTAGTCTTACGGAGCAGTCTTATGTCACAGAGGCAGCACTAGATGTGATGACAGGCCGTTTAGACTGAGTGTGCACTTAGGGAAGGTGTCTTTGACATTACTGTGTGCCAGTACTCTTCAAGCACAGTTATTATTGCCTCTTCTTAAAAAGCTTAGATGAATTAAAAAACAAAATCACAAAGAGTAATGACAAAGCCTGTAATGAGTACAGAAATACATGCTTTATTTTTATAAAACCTACAAAAATGATGTCCATTCTTAGGTAGAAAAGGTTGACTATCATTTGCAGATGGGAACTTTTTCTGGTAATGGGAGTTAGCATGATTCTAATTCTAGGTCCTAAAGGATGGGGTGTGTGCTTGGGAAACATTAAAATTAAGCAACAAAATAACTCATCTTTAGTAAATAGGGTTTTGTTTTTGTTTTGTTTACCTCATTCCTGGAGGTTGAAATAACTCTAACTTAAAACATTGTGTTATCTTCTTGTATATAAAAAGGAATAATAGTGTATTTTGTTGTTTCTTAAGATACATTCACATTTTTCTAGTTTTTAAGGTTGATGTGGAAATTCTTTAAACATAACAATGTTGTTTTTATCAACTTGTCTTTAAATAGATTCAGGCTATTAAAATGATGGTTCGATGGCTGCTTGGAATGAAGAATAATCACAGTAAATCAGGAACTTCTACCCTCAGATTACTAACAACGATACTGCATAGTGATGGGGATTTGACAGAACAAGGGAAAATTAGGTATGTAGTTACTGTTTTTGCAGTTATTTGGATTGTAGTATTCAACTCCTGGATTAACAGTTATCTGTTAGAATTTCTTTTTAAAAGACTTTTAGCATTAGTTTGTAGGTATTCATGTGTGTTTATTTTAATACAGTTTTACGTGGTGGTTATGACAAAGTAACAGTCGTGTGTCTAACAGCTCTGCCATCCAGACACTGCAAGTATTGTAAATGATAGATCCTAGTTCTTTGTCACGGTTTGTGTAGACCGGTTAGTGCAGAGACCTGCAACTACTGAAGGCTTGCTAGTGTCTCCAGGCAAGAAAGACGTTGTTGGATCTGTTTTTAGAATATAGTAAACAAAAAGTTTATAAATGTACTCAATGTATGTGATTTAAAACACAAGAGGTTTTTTTTTGTTTTTTTTCGAGACAGGGTTTCTCTGTGTAGCCCTGGCTGTCCTGGAACTCACCCTGTAGACCAGGCTGGCCTCGAACTCAGAAATCCGCCTGCCTCTGCCTCCCAAGTGCTGGGATTAAAGGCGTGCACCACCACTGCCCGGCTAAGAGTTTTTATTTATATGATGAAACATAATTTAGTGATTCCAGTTCATCCATAAGTCTATGGATTCAACTACGTAAAGATCTAAAATAAGCCAGAAAACAATGACTTTTTCTGTACTGAGAATGCATAGACTTTCCCCTACCTTTTCCTACACCTTGTAGCATAGCCACTGGAACTGAGTGAAGGTATGTGGGGAGATTGTTCATAATCCATGCAGAAATGTTGTCACTTTTCTGTGATAGACTGAAGCATTGATTTTGTTACGGGCTAACACTGTGCTGTGATTGAAACTTAGATTTAGATCCTGAAACTACATGCTCCAGGCAGATTCAAGCCCTGGCTCCTATTGCTTTCTAGTTAGGTGAAATTTACCAAGTTACTTCAGCTTCTCAGTGTCCCACACTCTTATGTCTTAGTGTACCACTGTGGTATAGCTAAAAAAATGTCAGGATGTTTGCGATATTCACGGTATTACATAGCACATAGAAACATGGATGCTAGTAGGGATTGTTTTTATCAGCGTTAGCTGAAATGTACATCTGTTCTCAAATGCTTCTATTCCCCCACCCCCAAGTTAGGATATGTAGGATGAGAAAATAGATTGAATGGCTTTAGTGGTAGCCAGTACCAACATATTTAAGAGAAAATGGCATGGGTTGGGTTTTGTGAGAGCTCTGTGCTACGTGTAGACTGATTGTCTTACTGCTGTGTCCTCATATGGCAGAAAGTACAGACAAGCTCCGCCCGACTCAGCCTCTTTATAAATCCACTAAGCCCATTCCTGAGGGCTCTGCCTGCTTGACCTCATCACCTTCCAGAAAACTGTCCCTTGAAATAACTTCTTGGCTTAGGATTTCAAAGCATGCATTCTGAGGAGATAAAGAATGTTCACCATAGGGCTTTTTGCTTTCTTCTTTTAGAGGATTATTTTAAGCATTAGATGTATAAAGTTAGGAATAATTTTTTTTCCAGCCAGGTTGAAGTCTTGCTTACGTTGTTTCTGCTTCTCTTTTAGTAAACCAGACATGTCACGCCTGAGACTTGCTGCTGGGAGTGCTATTGTGAAGCTGGCACAGGAGCCCTGTTACCACGAGATCATTACACTGGAGCAGTACCAGCTGTGTGCACTAGCCATCAATGTAAGGACAGTGGCCAGCAGGAATACTGTCATGTGCTCTTGGCCCTTTAGGAAGAAAATTGCTACAACAGCATCAAAGCCTTGAATGTGTGTTTTCTTTCATAAGAAACACATCAGAGTCCTAAAATGAACATACTAACACAGTGTATGTGACGAAGTTGTTGTGCTAGTCTGTAAACTTCCTAAAAGCACTTAATGAGCCTTGGGCTGGCTCAACCATTGCTCTGCAAGGAGATATGGGACACTTGCTTAAGACTCCAGTCACAATCTTGCCATCAGCTGGTCAGTGCACAGCCTTGTTTTCTGTGTGTCTGCTTAGGAACACCTTATTTCCATGCATGGCTCTTGGATTAACACTGACTCATAGGCCATGGCAGCAGTCCTCATTCTTCAGTGAGCCTTTACTGCAGCACATGCAGTTTCTCTGTAAGGCTGCTGGTGTGGCCTTGTGCTTATCACTTGTTGGGAGCCGTTTAAATGTCAGTCACCAACAAGAACAACACTGTAAAGTAGACCAAGAAGATGAAGGCCAGGCTTCTCTCTGAGGATGAGCACGACAGGCTGCTGCTTCATGCCCGTGAATCTATTTGCTAATGGGTATATCAGTGCTGCAAGTGTTGATTTGAGAATTACAAATACATGAGCAGGCAAATTTCTAAATATGGAATCTGAATGAGAAGAACAACTTTACAAAATTTTATAAATCTATGTTCCTGGGTTTTTATTTTTTTAAGACATAGGGTAGACAGTTTCAAGGTTGCAGTATTCAAAATAAACATTTTAAAATAAGTCTTTTAAAAGTGAAAATGCATAAACACTTAATCAGTAAATCTAAAGGCGTGACTTAAGCTTGCCTCCTTATATATTTTTCTGCTTGTTGCAAAAGCCCTGAATTGCATATTTTTCTGAGTCTCAGAGCTACCGTGTGGTATGTAGCCACTGTCCTCCTGCTGCACTCCTCTGGTACTCTCACTGAGACTCTTGGGAGACCTTGTCTGTTGTTGGATACATTTCCTTTATCACAGTTCTCATCATGTTAGTCTCCTGGTCAAACACATTTAAGACCTTAAGAACTCATATGTGTTTGAAAGAAAAATAACCTATTTTATAACCTGATAGTTGAGCCCCTCTGTTGTTTGGATTTAAACACACACTTTAACATCTGTTTAGTAGAGTACCTTTACAGCAGCAGTTCTCAGTCTGTGGGTCACGACCCCCTTGGAGAGGGGTCAAACAACCCTTTCACAGGGGTCATGTAAGACCATTAGAAAGCACAGATATTTACATTACAATTCATAACAATAGAAAATTACAGTTACAAAGTAGCAATGCAAGTAATTTTATGGTTGATACAATATTAGGAACTGTATTAACAATCACAACATTAGAAAATGTTGAGAAGCGCTATGTTTCAGTCACCTACTTCAGTTCAGTGAAGCTGAACACTTTTATTACTCAGCCTATGTTGTGTTGCCTCTGGTTTTTGTCTCCTCCCATCTGCACAGATCTGCATTTAACCCTGTTTGACAGTGAGGGTACAGATACGACCTTTCCCACAAGGCGTACTCTGGTTTTCTTAGCTGGGTGCAGTCTCTTTATTGTTTTAATTCCCTCCAGATTCTGTTTACACCTCTGCTACATACAGTGCTCAGCCTTGTGCTCTCACTATTTCTGTACACGAGGCTTGTTTTTATTCCCAAGTTGAGGCTCTTTAAAAGTAGTATTGTTGTATATCTGAACAGATACTAAGTGTGAGGGAGTAGAGATTGAATAATATGACAGCACATTTAATACTTGCTTAGGTACTTAGAATTTGAAATTCTGTTCATGAAAAAATGTACTTTGTGTTATTCTGAGCTGTACTCTGGTCTGGAACCTAGAAATACAAAGCATAATAAATCATGGCTGCATTCCCTGAAAGCTAACAGCATCTTAGAATAGAAAATACGTCTAAGTCTGGATACTTCATTGAGGTACAGAGAGTAACTCAACTACTTCTGAGATGCTGCATGAATTTTTAAGGATAGTTTGTGCTCAGGTCTAGTGAAGACCAAAATCAAGTTCATAGCAGTGAACTCAGCTCTGACTTGAGTGGGTCTAAAAACTTTGTAATTTTTTTTCTTATATTTAACTAATTATTTTTATGACCATAGCCAGGAGCATATCAAGTGTTTGCCTTCATGAAAGCTTCTTTTTGGTAAAACTATATTGCTTACTCCTTATTTAACGTTTTTATGTTAGGGTACCCATCTTCTTAAAGCTTGTGAAAACCCCTAATTGAAACTCCTGAAACATCCCATACATTCACAGTGTGGCTTTTCTGTAGTTAATTGTTAGCTCCTTGCCTGAGGTGATGGCTTTCCATCACTGTTAACTGAAGGCTCTTCGTTTAGAAGTGATTCAACAGGATGTGCTTTTTGGGCTTTTAAATGCTGAACTGTTAACAGGACAAAACTGTTGTTAAGGGTTGTGTCTTAGGAGGGATGTAGGAAGGTGGGAGGATGGGGTGTCTGGGTTGGATAACGTTTAAAGAATGGTCTGTTCACTGATTGTTAAAGTTAATATCAAATCCAGCAGCACCCGATCTAGCTTGTTGTTATAGGACTGCCAAGCTTGTTGTTTTGGGGCCGCCATCTTCCCGACTAGGCAAGGCCAGTGGCCACAAGTGGCGGCTTGCTCCTACCGCTGCTCAACTCTGATCACGGCTCATGCTGGCTAAAGCACCAGCCCTTGCACCCACAAGATGCCAGCGTGTGAGATGGCTCTGCCAGTCTCCCATGCTTTCTCCACAGTGCTTGGCTGAGCCCAGACCATCCCGCCATCCATGTGGTACCCGGTAGAAATGAGACTCTAATGCTTAAAGATTATCCAAAGGCTTTATATGTTTGGTAATGCTCAATTAACAAGATGCCCACACAATTAGAGGTGTTACCCAATTAACCTAGATATAAGTTGTTACCCAGGACTGCTCTCAATACATGCGTGGTCCTCCATGGCTCCTACATCTCTGCTCCTCCTCTCTAAGCTCCTCTTTCTTCGCCCCTTTCTCTCCTTACTCCTCCCAAATTACCAAGTTCATTGTAAAATGTTGCAGAGGGAGTGGGTGGAATATCCCACTACAACTGATGAATATGTTTATAATAAGTTGACTTTGGTATGAGGTTTTAAATTGGTCTTTTTATAGTAAATTGGTTATTTTAATGACAGATGTATATATTTGATTCTCATTAATACTGATAAAGGGTAACTTTATTGAGTGTCAATACAAGGACTGATTTTCTCTGGACACTTGAATAATTTTTTAAAAGTAGTAGGAATACTGAAGTTGAAATTGAGTGAAAGAGAATAAGAGCTTAAAGACAGGCATATGACACATCCCACCCCTGACTACGTTAACCAGGCATGGCGGTTCATGTCCATAATCTCAGCATTGAGGAGGCTAAGCTGGTAGAATAATGTGACCTTGGGTCAAGAAAACAAAAAACAAAAATCAAGTCCTGGGGCTGGCAAGATGGCTCACCCATCAAGAGTACTGGCTGCTCTTCTAGAAGACTGTGGTTCTCAGCACCTGCATGGTGGTTCACAACTGTCTGTACCTCCAGTTCCCTCCCACGGATCTTACTCCCTCACCTGGCCTCCAGAGGCACAATTACTCACATGGTACACGTTAGATACCTTCATGTAAAACATACATGCATATAAAAATAAAACTTTGAAAGAGCAAAAACCAGAAAACACCCAAGTGCTAAGAGTGGATTGCAGTCAGTGTAGAGCTCTTGTCTTAACAATGTGAAGGTTGCTAGGTCCATCCCTGTGCTACAGAGAAACAGTGCAGACAAGTCTGTGACCTAGACTTTGAAGAAAAACCCAACCGCCTTTACTGATAGAAGAAACAATGTACTTTAAAAGTTGCAGTAATAAGAGAACACACAGTTGAGAGGGTATAATCATGAAGGTGTTTGTATGTCAGGGAGATGGAGTGGAGCTATTTCCTTTAGCTTAGAAAAAATTCTAGTCCACTGTCTACCTGTTACTGTGCTAGTCTTAGATACAAGGGTGCATAAAGACATTGTTCTTGTCTTTGAGGAACCAGCAAATGAATCAGGCAGATGTCTAAACCACTTTCCATCTGTGTTAAAGATATGCCCGTGCTCAGAGCTTAGGCTAGTTCAGGACACGGGTTACATGCTGCCTTGGAGCGCATAGATGACTTGCCCTAGAGAACATGGAGGCGTTTGCTGGAGAAGTGGTTTGGGTGAAGCAAGTCATGAGGTAATCAGGCATGGGGTAACAAGTCACTTGCTTTTCTTCCACAATTGAAACAGTAATTTGAGTTTTCTGGAAGTGATTAGAAACTTTTACCTCAACTGTTAGGCATTCTAATGTGAATAGTTCTTTAAAAGTGATAAAACTCAAGTGCATTCATTGAATAGGTTTTATTTTTATTTATTTACACCCCCCCCCTCACAGAGTCCCTCCCCTCATCTCTCCTCCCTTCTCCTCTGAGAGGGTGCCCCACTAGGTACCTCCCCCAACCCCAGCCCTGATGCATCCAGTCTCTGGAGGATTAGGTACGTCCTTTCGAACTGAGGCCGGACAAAGGAGCCCTCTGCTACATGTATGCCTGGAGCTTCAGTCCAGCCTCTGTGTTGGACAGGTTTTAAAAAATCTTTCTACTAAATGAAAAACTACAATGAGATCGTGTTTCCACTATATTCCATTTGTGTTTGGAAGTTCTGGGGATCACCCCACCGCTTTGGCTGAGAGGCCAGTGCAGTGCTGAGCGTATGCCTAGCCTATTACTTTATTAGTATTATTTTAATCGTACTCAGGTTGGGAGCAGTATAGAGTTTCATCTGTTTTAAGAGTAGGGAGCAGTATACAGTTTTATCTGTTTTAATATATAGTATCTTTAATGCTGCCTAACACATATAACTGGTAGTTACTGGGTCCAGGTCAGTACTCCCACCTTGAGGTGGAGTCGCAGCCTCTGTTCTGAGAACTGACTGGGGTTATAGATCAACTTGGTCATAGCTGAAGGTATACCTTCTTACCGCCTTGTGGGTAATACCTGGAATAATTTTATCTTTACAGGATGAGTGCTATCAAGTCAGGCAGGTGTTTGCTCAGAAGCTTCACAAAGGCCTTTCCCGCTTACGGCTTCCACTTGAGTACATGGCCATCTGTGCTCTTTGTGCCAAAGACCCTGTGAAAGAGAGAAGAGCTCATGCCAGACAGTGCCTGGTGAAGAACATCACTGTGAGGAGGGAGTACCTGAAACAACATGCAGCTGTTAGTGGTGAGTGCATGGTTAGGGACAGATGCATCATAGCTCCTGTCAGTTGCAGTCTTACAGAGTAAAACATACTACTGTCGTTTATTACTGTGTACACTTTAAAAAGTCAGCATCTTTCAATAGCTGCTTTTCACTTCCTGTATTTAAACAACATATATAAATGCATGAGTGTTCTAGTTTCATTATCTTTTGTGAATGGCTAAATGAACAGAGAAAATCTGACATTGGAGGTGTCTGGAAACAGATTTGCTTATTTGTGTTATGTCCGCACTGTCATGGGTCTTTGTTCTCAAGTGTAGCTAACATTCATGTTGGTTGTAGATACTGCTTTCCTTTGCTCTCTGCCTCCCAAGGTATGCTGCTTCACTTCTGTGCCTGTCACCTACCCAGTCATCCAAGTTAGATCAGAAGCTTTCTTTGTGCATGTTTTTCTCTCTTCAGCACCAGATCCCATTAGCGCTTCTTCCAGATGTCATGGATATCTGCTGCTCCTAGCTACTGTTGAGTTGCAGTACCACAGATACTCTTTAGTTCCCACTGTGTGGTAATGCCCTGCTGCTGTCCCTCCCTTCCCATCCCACTGTACCACACCGCTGTATGCTACCCTTCTGGAACAGACCAGGCTGTTCTTTCCTTCCATCTTGGTTGAAATACATGTAGGTTCTCAAGTGCTCACAAGTGACATTGAAACACTATTGAAATACCAATGGCTATTCGTATTCTGTGCTCAGCTCATGTTTAAATTCTCCACTGAGTACGTCCCCATGCTCTGTGTGCAGGGTTACTTGAAGTTCTGCGCAGCTTGCCTTTTCCCGCTTTGTTCTCAGCTCTGCAAACTACTTTCTCTTGTAGACTGAGCTGGGAAATACAGCGCTCTGCATTGAGTCGTTGAAGATACATGTTTAGCATCACTTGGCCACTGTGATCCTCTTTCCTTTTTCCTCACCTTGGAAAAGTGAGGACTGTGTAGTCACGTCCTACCTCTGCAGTTTACTGGCTGTGTTTGGCCACGTTGCTTAATCCACGCCTTAGCTTGCTTGTTTGCAAAATTGCAACCACTTCTTGTGGTTGCTGCATGAGTTGGAAAATGATGTGTATAAAGCACCTGACATAATGAATGGCCCAGAGAAGTCATCAGTACTACTAGCTATTCTCATTTTAGGTACTTTCTCCTAGGCGTCCATCTCTTTATACTTCAGTGGGTGCCTTACATGGTCACATATGTTTTTATATTACATAGATACAGCACTCTATAAGTATTTGACGTAATTTAACTTAAATATCACTGTAATTTGAAATTGCTGGGTTGTTTTTTTTGTTCCTCTCATGCTTGCTCCTTCATAACCACTTACATGGAAACTTTTCAAAGACAGGCTGATGCTTATTGGTACATTATGCTCCTGATTGAACATCTGACTAAAATGGAAATAGGAGACCAAATCCAAGTCTTTTTGTATACTGTTTCCCAAAATATAGTTTGCATGCCTTTCTGACCTCTGCTATATATACAGTTTGCTACTCTGGTCAACAGATTAAAAATACTTGGATTTAAACTGAAAAGTTATTTGTTATTTCCACTGTTGGAGGAACTCTGTTCTTTTGGATAGTCGTGTTATTATATACTGGCCATTACTTCTGTTCTTATGCCCACTCTGAGAGGTGCTTATCAGAGAACATCAACACAGTCCTTACAGCATAGATAGAAAGGCTAGATCTTATATCTCAGTCTTGAATAGTGTGTGTGGATCTCTCTTTTCATGTACATTTGAAAACTACACATTTGCTCTTGCTGATCGGCACCTCCTGTGCTAACTAGGCACTTTAAACTGCTTGCCATGTCTCTCAGCACAGGATGTTTGAATGTGTTCTTCAGCCACGTTGTGCTAAATCACTGGGATGTAGGAAATGTACAAAAGAGCATGTGATTTGATCTTTCTAACCTGGATGTTTTTGTTTGCTTTTTGTCTTTTTTTGTTTTGTTTTTTGTTTTTCAGAAAAATTATTGTCTCTTCTACCAGAGTATGTTGTTCCATATACAATTCACCTTTTGGCACATGACCCAGATTATGTCAAAGTACAGGATATTGAACAGCTTAAAGATGTGAAAGAGTAAGACTTTTTCATCCCATTTTCCTATTTTCTGAAAATTGTTTTTACTTCCTTACTGCTGCTAATGAGATATTAATCTTAGCTTTAATTATAGTTGTCGTGTGTTTCATTTTGCTAAGGTTCATTTTTAGTCTCTCGACCGTCTTTGTTTTTCATCTCTGTACATTGCATTTCTTACCCAATTTCTAGAATGTGACTGAAACTACTAAACTTTAGTTCTGTGTCTCTGCAGCTGGGGCATGACTTTCCTCCTGAAGTAATCCACTCAAACTTTCTCTGCACTTCTCAGCTTTTATTTCCCACTAAAGTTGTAGGTTTTGTGTGAGATGACTTGGTAATGTCCTCACTCAGGTAGTAAGCACATGTTTCTTTGCAATGATTGTCTTTGTAAAATGAAAGAAGAATTGCATCATAATGGGCCACATTCACAACCGGGGAAGTATTCTTAGTTATAACTTCTTTTGCTATTCTCTAATTAAAGGTTATTGTCTATGTAGAAACAGAGTAGGGAGTATCATGATATTGAGAGAGATTTTGAGACCAACAGAATTCCTAGAATAAACTTGAGGCTCAGGTCCTATTTTTGTTGTTATAAAAGATAACTATTATGATTTCAAGTCAGTTAATTTAGTATACTGTTGATAGACTAGTAAAAGATTTTGATAGTCAGTTTGTTGATTCATGGAAATATAGTTATTTGAAGTCTTGCAGGAAAATAAAAATTTAACTTACCATTAGCTTACTGTGGCAAGGGGAAAATCCAGTATCTATCTCTTTTATTTGCCATAATACCTATTATTAAAATAGTATCTCTAAAAATAAATTCTGTGTTAGAGTGGTTATCAGTAATGAAAAACTCTGGCTGCTTTTCTTTATCTGAGGGCATGTACTTGAGAGTTTTGCCTTTCTTGATTGCCCTGATTTTTTTTCATACTGTGGAACACAACCTAAGCCATTGCATTTTCCTGTAGAATAGTATCTTGGTCATATTTCTTTTTCCTGTTATTTTTCTCACTCTTTTGTTTTTGTTTTTGTTTTTGTTTTTGTTTTTGTTTTTTCGAGACAGGGTTTCTCTGTTTTCCCTGGCTGTCCTGGAACTCACTCTGTAGACCAGGCTGACTCAGAAATCCACCTGCCTCTGCCTCCCAAGTTTTCCCTCTCTATATCAACTGTAATTCCTTCCGTTTCTTACAACAGAGACAATATTTAAGGTTTCTCCTCAGTGTGGGTGTCAGCCATGCTTTTCTTTCTCATTCGTTAACTGTTTCTGACCTCTGGGTCAAATGCTGTGTTCTTTAAAAGATGTCCTCTCAAGACTTGAGTTACCTCCTTCTATTACAGCCAGTCTTTCTTTACTCATAGAATGGAGTTAAAATTGTTTTGTTCTTTCCATCTTGTGTTTCTTTGAACCTTTCTCATGCAGAAATTTGTTGAGAATCTGAGCTTATCTCTGCATTGTTGACCTATTGTAGTGTAAATGTGTGACATGGGCTTTTCCCTGCTGTTTTATTTTGAGTTGTAGCTGCTTCTCTTAATTTTTTTCCTCTTCTGGAATTATAATCTAGGTTCATTATATTAGAATTAAGACTCATTGTGTCAGTATTTAACAAATGGTTTTTCTTGGTATCTTCTTTGTTCTTGTGTTTTTAGATGTCTTTGGTTTGTTCTGGAGATACTGATGGCTAAAAATGAAAACAACAGCCATGCGTTTATCAGAAAGATGGTAGAAAATATTAAACAGACAAAAGATGCTCAAGGACCAGATGATACAAAAATGAATGAAGTATGTAACTTATGATAAGTAATTTTGATTTTATGCTGATTTAAATATTTTAAGTATAGAATATACAACTTTTCATGTTTATAAACAATTTTTTCTGTTAGAGATAATTGATATTTCTAGTACAGAATTATTATACCAAAACTAGTGTTAATTTAGTAGTAATTCTAATACGGAATCATACTGATCTTGTACTAATATAAGCCACAGTATTTATCTAGAAGTTTTCTTTCATTAGTTTACTGTTGTTCTAGAATTACACCTGAGTCTAAAATGCCAGTCTTAATGACTAACTTAAAAAAATACCATTGCAGAAATTGTACACTGTGTGTGATGTTGCCATGAACATCATCATGTCAAAGAGTACCACATACAGTTTGGAGTCTCCTAAAGACCCAGTGTTACCAGCTCGGTTTTTCACCCAACCTGACAAGGTAATTACTTTAGAATTTGTTTGTGGGAGTTGGCATGGAGTGTGTGCTCACACTAGGCTGTGGGAAGACAAGAAAAGATCAATAGTAAGAGCTTCTGGAATAGCAGGAAAAGGTACCAGGTTCAGGAATGTGACTGTGGACCAGAGTGGAGGTTTGGAATGATTAGATACTAAGTAGTAAGAGCCAGAGATTGTTTCAAAGACTAAGGCTATGCTAAGAGCACAGGCAAACGTTTACCAAAGCATTATGAATTAATACTCTTTGATTCAAAATGGGAATTGGAATGTTGATAGATACAGTGTCTGAAGCTGCAAGCCCTTGATCAGGTGGTGTCATATAGAGCATAGACACTGGGATAGGCCCAAGGCTCTGGGAGCAATACAAGGTTAGTCATAAACCACACCCCAATATGATGTTGCATAAGCCCTCACAGAGACTCTTCTCTAAGCTTATTGACTAACAGAACTTGGAAAGCACCGTCGTCATCTTTGTATTGAAAGCAGTATACCAGTTAAGATCTTAGTAGCATATCTAGATTTAAAATGACCTCCTGTGTTTGCCTAAAGTTATTATAGGGCTTGTCTTTTTTACACAGCTCACTTTGATATGAGCAGCATAGCAAGGGTCTGTGTGCCTTCTTGTGCAGGAGTGTGTATTATCTGGCACATTGATACTGGAATTGCTGTGAGGTTAGTCTATTAGAACCACTGCCTGAAGTTTCATGTTTGAACTAATTAGTTAAATAAATATGAACTTAAAAGTAAAAGCTCTCATGTACTCGGTTGGCTTTTGTTTGTGGAGCTATTCTAGAGCCCACTGACGGCTTTTTCTCTTTGCTTTCAGAATTTTAGTAACACCAAAAATTACCTGCCTCCAGAAATGAAATCGTTTTTCACTCCTGGAAAAGTATGTTTTGAGAATTGTTTTAGTATTTATGTGGTAGTTAACTTAAGTGTGATTATTGACCTAATTATGTCATTTTACTTCTTTAAGAATTTTTATGTCTCAAGGAAGGAAATATATAATTAGTTATTTTCCATTTGTAGGTTTAAAAATTAATTGTGCTTACTATGTAAATGTCAGCTAAGATGTGCTTTTAAAAAGCTTATAGCAAAACTATGAAGACCTTTATCCTTTAGACTTTTTATATAATCTAAATAAAAACTCTTTAAAAAGATCTCTTACATCCTTCCATAGCAAGGCTCTGTTTTCATTAATGGTCTATATTTCATTTATTGCCTTAATCTGTGAAAATCTTTTCCTCCAAATAACAAAAACTCAATTGCTCTGTTGTCTTTGGGGGTTTGCTGTTTGTCTGTTCTGAAACTACCTTGCTAGGTAGCCCAGGCATGCTTTGAATTTGCAGTACTCTTACCTCAGCTTCCTATGTGCTGAATTATAGGCATGAAGTGTTACAAGTTTTTGATGTATGCAGTGATACTCAGTTTATTGTCTATATTTTGCTTAGGGCTAGATAAACTTTTGAGATTTGTGTGTAAATGCATTGAAGTTGTTGCTAACAGGTCTTGATACGGTTCTTTTAATGTTAACTGAATAGGAAGAGTTATGTATTTCTCGTTTCAGCCTAAAACAGCCAATGTTCTAGGAGCAGTTAATAAGCCACTTTCATCAGCAGGCAAACAGTCTCAGACCAAATCATCAAGAATGGAAACTGTGAGCAACGCAAGCAGCAGCTCAAATCCAAGCTCTCCTGGAAGAATAAAGGGGAGGCAAGTTCACACACAAGAGATGTCATGTTTTATATTTGACTCCAACAAGGCTGTGAGATCTAAAATAATACAAATATAAATATTTGATGACAGTGGATAGAGATGAACTGGTAGTTACTGACAAATAACACTTGGCTTTCCATATATAAGCTTACTGGAGTAATTTCTGCTAGTACACACAGTAACAGTTTGACCTCATGGATTACCAGTTACACAGTTAGTTGTTCACTTATGGCTCATTCATACAGTGGAATACCTAAATCATTAAAAAATAGTGAGGTCAGGGACTGGAGAGATGCCTCAGTAGTTAAGAGCACTGGCCACTCTTCCAAAGGACCCAGGTTTGATTCTCAGGAGCTCACAGCCATCTGTAACAACAGTTTCAGGGTTTCTGACACCCTTTTCTGGCCTCTGCAGGCATTACATGCATGTGGTACATAGACATACATGCAAGGAAAGCACTCATACATAGACAATTCAGGAGCCAGAAAGCTGGCTCACTGTATAAAGGAACCTGCTGCCAAAGCTGATGGCCTGATTTTGATCACTGGGATTAACATGGTACAGGGGGAAAAAACAACTTTTTTTGGAAGTCCTCTGGCCTCTATATGTGTTTCAGTGCTTGAATGAATCCATACAGTAAATGAAGCGTGGGGGCTTTGTCTTTGTGTCATTTTTTAAACATGAGGTCTGTGCTCCCATGGGAGTGAATGAGTGATACCAATTATGTAGAGCGCACTGTTGCAGGGCCTTTATTTGGAAATACCTTTATAATCAGAGTAGGTTGCATCCAGTGGGAACTTTTTGGGGAAACATACAGTATCTTAGCAGTGTTCATAATAACTTAGTATGGGTGTGTTATTACGGTTTGACATTGGTTGAATTTCTTTTTAGTATATGTATATGTGTATAAACTTGGTTTTAAGAGTAGTTCTAACAAGTATTTGTTTAACTTGTAAAGTGCATCCTCTTGTTGGCTAGAGCTTGAGATTTAGGAGTTCAGTAGTATGTAAACAGATTTGTTTTGAGACAGGGTCTCTCTATATAGCCCTGGCTATTCTTGAACTTGCTGTATAGACGAGGCTGATCTTGAACTCACAGCAATCCCATTGCCTCTGCCTCCTGAGTTCTGAGATTGAAGACGTGAGTTATCATATCCAGTAAAAAGCTTGAAAAATAAGTAGGCAAGGATGATGCAGAAGACTAGAGCTTTCTAAGAGCATAAGAGCATATGCTGTTACCTCATTCAGCAAGCCTGCTACAAGCCTGTTCTCAGCCCTGCACAGGTTTACATACTAAGTAAAATTGCCAAAAATCAGTGTTTGTGTTGTAAAAGGAAGAAGAAGTCAAATAAGAAACTTAGTGACTGCATGTTACATGCACAAGGAGAAAAGATGAAATGGGGGCAAGGATGGACAGGGCAGGCACGCTGCACGAGGCCAGCCGGATGCGCTAACGACAGGTTTCATTTCCATGCTCTGCCCCAAAATGAAATCAAGTTTTCAAAACATCATATGGTAAAATGAATTTATTATTTATGTCCTTAATTTATTAAATGAGCTACATTGTTTACTGATTTGGTATAAGATATGATAGAAAAAATATCTTTAAAATGGATAGAGTCTTTGCTTTTGAAGTTATAAAGCTATACAATGAAACAATCAAAAAATGGCTTTAATGTTATCTGATTGTAGAAATAACTACATATGTCTCTATTCAAAGGCTTGATAGCTCTGAAATGGATCACAGTGAAAATGAAGATTATACAATGTCTTCACCGTTGCCAGGAAAAAAAAGTGACAAGAGAGAAGACTCTGACCTTGTAAGGGTGAGACGCCTGGTTGACTGTGTGATGTTCTTAGTTGTAACAGTTTTAGTCATTTTTGCTCGTTAGCCAGGTAGTTATAGTTGCTATTAAATTTTTCATGTTATTCATATTCTGTGGCTTTAGTTTCAGACTCAGTGTTACAGTTTATTTTGAGTTTATGTGATTCTTGTCTTCAGGTAAATAATCTAAATTCTTTGTCTTTAGAGTCAAACTTGGCAGTTCCATACTCAGAATTGTGTGCTTTCCTTTTTCTTTTCTAACACAGTATTTTAGACATGGTCTTAGGAAGGGAGAATGGAATGCAGGTCCCAAAGTCTCCCTCCTTCTGTTGGAAAATCCCTTTTAAGTTTTTAATATTAACAGAAATAGCTTCTATGATAGCTATCATTTATAAATGTTACTTGAAGACAAATTTGGTGAAGATTCACTGAAATGCAGAGTTCATATTCCAGTACAGCCTAGTGCATTTGGTAACTGGGCCTGTTTGTACTCTCCAGTTGAGCTCTGAACGTTTCTTGAGTGACTGACTGGGGCATTCTGGATCCATTTGCTTATCTGTAAACTGGGTAGTTTGGGCTTGCCAGTCCAATAATAATAAATTATCATTCATTAACTGAATAAATGAGTTAGCCCAAATAAATTGTTGATGCTGTCTCATTGTTAGAGTGATTAATGCCTTTGAGCAATAGCTTCCATAAAGTAAATGTGCTTGCTTCTGAGAAACAGAGATGAGAATTTTCAGTAAAATAATTACCATTGCTTTCTCTGGAATCTTATTTGCCCTCTTTTTCTCCTACTGACACATTTTAGTTATTTTCAAGTTTCTTCAATTTATCTAGCTAGCCTAGTTGTTCTTCTTTCCATTTTATAATTAACATTTTTACTAAATCCTCATTAGTCAGCTAGCTGGTCAGAAGTTTTCCCCGGTGGGCTGAAGAGATGGCTCAGCACTATCTTTGACTCCAGTACCAGCGCATCCAGAGTTCTCTCTGACCTCCACGGGTACCAGATATGTGGTGCAGAGATAACGCATGCAGACAAAACACTCATACACACTTGAAAAGGTTTTATACAAGAAGCATTAGAAATTGATAACTTAGAAAAATATAGGATCAATAACAGAAAGGAGTTCTATTGCTAGGTCTTTAGAAGAGAATCTTTAAATTAGTAAAAATAACTATTTTTTTTAATTCTATTTAATCAAGAAAATTCTTTATTGTTGTAATCATACTCAAACATGGAATAATTGACAAGGTTTTCTTTTTATAGCAGAAGCAGGAGTATTGTAAGATTAAGGACAGTCTTGGCTTTATAGTAAGTTCAAGGCTAGCCTGAATGCTATACATAGGGAGGCTGTTGCCAACAACAAAAACAAAACAGCCACAACAACAAACCCAAACAAACAAAGGCTAGGGCTGTAGTTTGCTTATCCAAGTTTGATCTTCAGGATCGAAGAAGGAAAACCATATATGTGGTGTCCGTGTATGGTATGTGTTCATGCATATAACTTGTGTCTCTGGTGATTTTGCTACATCTGATGGGCTCTGTTCATCGCAGTAACCTCTGTGATACTGAGAGACAAGCTGAGTACACAGTCTCAAACAGAATCTAAGGAAGTAGTAGAGAGCACTTGTGTGGGAAATCTTGCAACCAAGAGACTTGGAACACTGTTCTATCTTCTGTGAGAAAGGAAAGGTTGAACTGGTAATAGTTTTCTTCCTAGTGAATATATACTCAAATTTTAGTGATTTTTTTTCCATGTGGAAAGATAAGTAGACATTAAAACAGGACATATGACTAGCATCAGTCCACAAGACAAGGGTGTGTTTAGCTTTGGGCAGTGAGGAAGTATATGGTTGCTGCAGTCCCCAGAGACTCTTTCTTCGGGTGGGAAGAGTCTGTAATCTCAGCAAATTAAGTTCCTAGAAGAAGAAGAGGATGAAGAGAGACAGGACAGCTAACCCGAGGACTCCCCGTTCATGACTCACCTCCACCAAGTTATCGCCCGAAGGCCTCATCTCCACATAGCACCACACTGGGTTATGAGGTCTTCAACACATGACACATGAAAGGGTACAAATTCAGACCATACCAAAAGAGAAAATAAAGGTTGAATATATTCAAAAGAGTAGATTTCCCAGAAAATGACCTAGACAAAAGAAATAATACCAAGAACACAATTGGGCAGCTCACAGAAAGTGCCATAACTTTTCTTTCTTTTTCTTCCTTCCTTCCTTCCTTCCTTCCTTCCTTCCTTCCTTCCTTCCTTCCTTCCTTTCTTTCTTTCTTTCTTTCTTTCTTTCTTTCTTTCTTTCTTTCTTTCTTTCTTTCTTTTTCTTTGTCTCCCTCCCTCCCTCCCTCCCTTCACCCATCTCCCTCTCTCTTTTTGATTTTATTTTAATTTTGAAACAGTCTCAAGTCTCAGTCTGGCTTTGAACTCATTATATAGTAGGATAACTTTGAGCCTCCGACGCCTCCCCTTGTACATACTGGCATTGTTGCTGAACCCCACCACACTTGATTTTATGCAGTGTGCATTGTAGGCAAACACTTTACTAACTCAGTTATCTCACCAGCCCCTAAGTTAAAGGTTTTTGTTGATTTTTTAAAATAAAATATATCTAGATAGATCGATAGATATCTAGATATCTATCTCACATGGGTATTTTGCCTGAATGTATGTATATCCATCATGTGTATCTAGTGCCTACAGAGACTGAGAAGAGCCCCCTGGAACTGCAGTCACAGAGGCTTGTGAGCTACCATGTGGGTGCTGGGAATTGAACCCTAGTTCTCTGGAAAAAGTAACCAGTTCTCTTAACCATGAGTTGTCTTTCTAGCCCTGTTTTCTGTTGACATTTTTAAATCTGCACAGACCTTTTGGGAATTAAGTTCACTTCTTAAATATTCATATACATTCTCATTTTTGGGTATCTAGATAATCTCCATTGTTCATTTATACACAAATTCTCTGAATATAAAGTAAGATTTTATTTTAAATTTGAAAACACTGGGTTTTTTGTTTGTTTGTTTGTTTTTTGCTTTGTTTTTTATACTGTTTTGTTTTGAATTAATTAAATCTGGAAAGGCAGTCTCGAATTCAGAGATGTTTCTGGATTTTTAGTGTCAGATGAATGTGTTGAAAGTTTTGTTATCTCATAACCTCCATTTAGAAAATAAAACTAGTTCTTTATGATGTCACAGACATGTATAGCGCATTGTTACTCTGTGGTCTACTTAGATCCAGGTGACTAGACAATAGGAACAGGTGCTTGAGTGTCACCTGTACCTGGCACTGAGTGTGAGGTGCTCACCTTCACTGAGAGACAGCATACAATAAAGTACCAATTTGAGAGGTTTCCCTTCAAAGCTCTGCATCCTAAGTTTAAGAATGAAGATTCATCACTTGTTCACCAGTGGATGTCCCCATACCTGAGAGTTTATGAGTAGTGCAAACTAGAGTTCCGATTATTTAATTTTAAGGGAATGTGTGCAAGAAGTTGAATGGACAGGACAATAGAGGTGGATCTTGGATGAGTTGGGGGTTGCGTGTGATCACAGTACGTTATCTCAGAGTCGCAAAGAACTAATAAAAATAGGGGGTTTTGCCGGGCGGTGGTGGTGCACGCCTTTAATCCCAGCACTTGGGAGGCAGAGGCAGGTGGATTTCTGAGTTCGAGGCCAGCCTGGTCTACAGAGTGAGTTCCAGGACAGCCAGGGCTACACAGAGAAACCCTGTCTCAAAAAATCAAAAAAAAAAAAAAATAGGGGTTTTTGTTTGTTTTATAAATGAAATTCTTCTTTTACTCAAAAGAATTTTTCAAATTCTAGAAAATAGCCCAGTTAAGTGGCCCATGTTTGTCATCCCAGCTAATTTGAACTTTTAACATGGAAGAAAAGTTTGATGCCAGCCTGGGCAGCATCATGAGGCCTTCTTCATTCTACAAATCAAATCAAAGTCATAAATAGCTGTGTTTGCACTATATTTAAGAACTATATATTTAGATACATATTTGTGACAAAAGTATGTCACATGATTTTAGGAGTTGTCAGTATTCAGAATGCTAATAGTTTTATTTATTTGTTTGTTTGCCATGCTGGCGCTTGAACCCAGGGCCTTGCACATGGCTAGGCAAGAGCTTTGCCACTGAACTACACCCTGAGCCCTAACAATATCAGTTTTCAAAATTTAATTTTAAAAATTGTGATCCTCCTCCCTCCAGTCTGAGTTGGAGAAGCCTAGAAGTCGGAAAAAAGCACCTGTCACAGACCCAGAAGAGAAATTAGGTATGGATGACCTGACTAAGTTGGTGCAGGAACAGAAACCCAAAGGCAGCCAGCGAGGCCGGAAAAGAGGCCATGCGGCTTCAGACTCAGATGAGCAGCAGTGGCCTGAGGAGAAGAGGCACAAGGAGGAACTCCTGGAAAATGAAGATGAGCAGAACAGTCCGCCAAAAAAGGGCAAAAGGGGCAGGCCACCAAAACCTCCTGGTGGGGGCACATCGAAGGAAGAACCAGCAATGAAAACATCCAAGAAAGGAAACAAGAAGAAACTTGCACCTCCTATAGTAGATGATGATGAAGAAGAAGAAAGACAAATTGGAAACACAGAACAGAAGTCAAAAAGCAAACAACACCGCACATCAAAGAGAGCACAGCAGAGGTGAGTGTGTGCAGTCCTAAGCTGGACATTGATGCAGTAAGTGTGCTTACCGTAATATGAACCGTAATCTCATGCTATCCACATTTGGGTCTTCCCCAAAGCAGAGCAGAATCTCCTGAAACTAGTGCAGTTGAATCCACACAGTCCACGCCACAGAAAGGACGAGGAAGACCATCAAAAGCGCCATCACCATCACAACCCAAAAAACATATGTAAGTTGTAAATAATAATAAATTTCAAATCAATTTCAAATTATTTTGCAAACTTTATGTGTATAAGCATATTTATTGCTGTATTTAAATTCCAAATAATTTGTCCAAATATTTTTCAAATATACTAGGTAAGACATTTTTATAAACTTATCTAGGGAATTAATAGCCCACTTAATATTTGTACACTTTTTAAAGGTCTAGAGAAGTCTTTATAAATGATTACCAAATAGTTATCTAGTCTTATGGTATACAAACATGCTATTTTTCAGTAGTCACTATGTATCAGCCAGGTTTCGTCATTGCTGCAGGCTACAGTTCCTCTTAATCATTCCCCTAGTCAACTTTTTGACACTTGCATCTTTGTGTACTTTTGGATGCTCACACAAATGCATTAATAAGAGAGCATTTAGTTTGTCCAGACTCATCACCATAGCATGAACACCAGCACTGTCAGCTGCACACCAGGCAGGGCTATCTCCTGTTAGAAAAGTAGAGCCAGAATATCATGTCCTGTTAGTCAGAAATGTCACCTCTTCCTAGGCATGCTCACTATGAAGCTGTACCCAGTACTTGACTTTTTTTTTTTTTTTTTTTTTTTTGGTTTTTCGAGACAGGGTTTCTCTATGTAGCCCTGGCTGTCCTGGAACTCACTCTGTAGACCAGGCTGGCCTCGAACTGAGAAATCTGCCTGCCTCTGCCTCCCAAGTGCTGGGATTAAAGGCGTGCGCCACCACCGCCACCCAGTACTTGACTTTTAAAACATTATTGAAGAGTTGGCACCAAAATTGGAGATCATTGTTGGGTACCTTTAAAATCAAACATAATTATATCATTTTGGAAATGGCTCTACCAATACCTGGTATTACACTTATCTTTAGTTTCCAGCACATCTCAGCTAAATACTTGGGTACCATAGAGTTTTTCTTGTTCCTGTGTGTTCCATAGGAAAAAGAAAAGTTGCCCGAGTATCACCTAGTGCTTCATGCCTTCCTCCATATAATTTTTCTATAGCGTTAGAAAGTACAGCTAAGTACAATATTATGACAGCTTCTGTGTTTGGATCCAGCAGGCAAAATCATTGTTTCTTAAGCAATAGTCAATAGCCTGACATTAATTTTATAGTAGTTAAATAACAGAATTTTAAGTATCTCACCTTTGTAACTTTTTCTTAGTATCTGGGCATCATAAACTTGAGAGCTTAAATGGTTATGACTTCCCCTTAAATTTCACAAGTCTTTCCACAAGCCTTCAGAACCTAAGTATAGTTTTTTTAGCATAGAAAGATACTTTTTATTTTATCTTGTTAGACTGTCTTTCAGTTTCTAGATAGTTTTTTCCAAAGCTGGAATAATAACATGTTATAATTTGTCTGCTTTTTGTGTTCTAACTATAATATAATTGAAAAACATTATTATCCATGTAATTTTGTATGGTGGCACATAGCAGATCTTATTCTCATGAGACTTGCTCTCCAGTGGGCAAACAGTCACTAAGTAGTAACATACAAATATGAAACTATAACTCTGATATATGTCCTGAAAATATGTAGGCCATTTTAAGAGAATATAGTGGAAGGAAGTTGGAGAATTTGTCTTTTTCTAATGTGACAGTGAATTAATTACTTAAAACTAATAGAAGAGATAAGATGAGAGGTCTCAGTGGGTAGAGACACTTACTGCCAAGCCTGACGGCCGAGTTCAATCCCTGGTACCCACATGGGAGGAGGAAAGAGCCAGTTTCCTTGACTTCCTTTGACTTCCACAGGTTGTCTGTGGCACATGTGTGTTCACACAGTATATAAATACAACACAAATAGAGAGATGATGTTTCTGAAGTGGGAAATTTGTGGTAAATCCAAGGAACTGAAAAAGGCAAAAAGGTTTACTGGATTGTAACTATCAGGAATAGACAGGTAGGCCAGGACCATCTGAAGGGATTTACAAGTTTATTCTTGGCTCAGTGCAGGGGTTTGTGTGGGAGTGACACCATCTGTTCTGTTTTTAAAGGATCACTCTGTAAAGAAAAAGGCAAGCTGTAGGAATGGATGGTGGTAGCAGTGTCAGGGATGATGGGTGCGTTCATATTCCGGGTTCAGGTTTCTCCTTGCACAGTCTGAGATAGTGTGACGGGAAGTGCGCTGCTCTCTACTCAGAGAGGATGCTCACCGTGAGCCACCTGGTGAAGACTGACGGAGAGGAGAGCTGAGATAGGTACTGGCTGAGAAGACAGGTTGTTATCAAGTCCTTTATGGTGATAGTCTTGGTGACACTTTTCTTCCTTTTCTGTAAACTTTGTAAGATTCTTATGTGAAAATTTATTTCTTATATTATGACATAATTGAGAATAAAAATGACCAAAAAATTCATTAAACTATTTAAGACATTTCTTCCAGTGAATTAATATACAACTTAATATTGGGATTCTCATTTTATTTTATGTGTTTTGCTTTAGCCGTGTAGGACGCTCCAAACAGGTAGCTACTAAAGAAAACGATTCAAGTGAAGAAATGGATGTGCTTCAGGCCAGCTCTCCTGTCAGTGATGACACTACACAAGAAGGAGCAGAAGAGGAGGACATTTCTGTGGGAAATGTATGTCCTTAGTGAAGTGTCGTGTATGCGGTATTACAAAATGTAAACATTGAGCCAGTAGATACTTAGTCAGCTCCATTCCGCTTGCTGATGTCTATAATTCTAGATATTTACGCCTCAGTTGATGAGTTTGTCATGTTCTTTTACTTACCAGCTAGAAACGGAGAAACAGCTTTGAGCGGAGCTTGAACTTACTTGAGAATGATGGGTATTATAATAATGCCTAGAGAACCTGTCAGCCGAGTGTGAGGAGTCTAAGCAGATTCCTGTGCCAGTCTAGACACTGGTCTCCTTGCAGTGTGAACTCCTGTTTCACAGATGTTCTGTTTTGAGTATCATGATAGAAACCAGAAGAAAGCCACACTGAGTAAAAGTGAATCTTGAAGTCAGATCAGCCTTTGGGATTGAGGTGGAAACTGGCTTTGTATGGTTGGCACTGGAGCTGCTTTTATAGAAGTAAGAGCTGGTGCTTTCCAGAGTCTTCCTTCTTTTAAATAGCAAATGCTATTATTAGTTATCACATACTACTTTTATTTACTTACTTACTTACTTTCTTACTTACTGACTTAATTACATCCCAGATGTTGCCCCTCCTTCTGGTCTCCTACCACATTTCTTCTTATTGGGGGGAAAACTAACACAAATAGGAACTGTGTTCCTGGTGCATTAATGCTGAAGTTTTAGATCCGTTCTCAATTCTTTTCATTTGGAGACTTGAGTTCTTTGGTTGGTTCCCAGAGTTGGAGTCTGTGCGCTGATTCTGTTTCATGGGTTCAGTGACTCCATCCCAAGGGCTTGTTGAGATGAGTCTCGTCTGAGTCCTCTCAAGGCTGCTCTGCTTTGTTTCTTAAGGACTTTGAGGAGGAGAACTGGAACCTAAGACTGAATCGTCATGGTAACGGAGAACAGCTGTATGTTAGGTTCACTCACTTAAAACCCTGCTCCTTTCCTTCTGCTGACTCATACTGACCTTATTTTTGAATCAGAGTTTTAAGCTTCCTATAGGCCTTGCTAGTAAATGGTAGTATGTTTGAACTCAAGGTTGTGTAGATGTGTCTCCAAGTATTGGGAGCCAAACTCACTAACTTCTGTCCTAAAATGACCTAGAGTCAAGTGTTTTTCTCTGCCATAGGAAGGAAGTAGGAAGATGATGGATCTGAGAGTAGTTGTTACTCACCTAGGGACACTGTGTTCTGTGACTTTCTAAACATTAATGCAGAAGGAAAAGACTCTGTTGCCTGGGAAAGGCTGCTTGTGGGCTTGTCCATATGTAGACATCATAGAGGCCTTAATATCTGAAGATAGAAAGAGAGAGGAGGACAGTTTTAGGAAAAGAAATGCAAAGAAATTCAGAAGTGTGTGAGAATAAAGACTGTTTAGAATGATGGTTGGTACTTCTCTAAATGTGGGTATGCTCACGTTGGTCGTCTGTTGACTTCTCTCTTCAGGTACGGCGGCGAAGCTCTAAACGAGAGAGACGATGAACATGGCATTAACTCCATTGTGAAAGCTTTGGGAAAAAACATTTTGTCAAGTATGAGGCTAAATAAAGCCTGTGATGCACAAAACGGGACTGCCAAAGTGTGGACAGTTGGACTTTTGATGACCATGAACTTGTGGTCACATGCATCAGCCACTCACATAGTGATAACATTGACTCCAGAGTCTTGTGAAAGTGTCATGTGTGACGGCTGTGTAGACATAAACTAAAGAAGAAACGTGTAAATAATCCCACTCCCCCATTTCTGACTTCTAAAGTGCTTGTATAGCTTTTATCTGCGGCTTTAAACTGACAGTACCCAACTGCTTACCGGATCTATTCATTTGAAAAGCATTTGCTAGGGTGGATCTTAAGCAGTAGTCTGTCAGTGTTTGTATTTGAATTCTCTGCAGTTTTACTGTGAAAATTTGTTTTCAACAATTGGTGTCATTTTCTCGATGTCACTGTTTGTTGGAGTTAAGTGGTCTCTTCCTGCCCCTCTTTGTAGCTCATCTGTGTTTACTCCAGGGCACCCGTCATCTTCCGAGGTGCTGAAGCATCTGCCAGCACACTAGGACATGCCTCTGTCTGGGGCACCGCACGGAGTGTGAGATAGTCCTGAACTTATCTGATGACTTTACACCTCAGTATTGGTCCCAGAATTTTCTGGCCTTTCATGGCAATGAAAATTTTAAGAAAGAGATTTAAAGTATTTTAATTTTAAAGAGTGTGTTATAAAATAATGTACTAAATTCTTTATTCCATTCTATCATCTTTTTTCAGTTTATATTAATCTACTGTATCAATAAAATTCTGTAATTTGAATGGGCTTTTAATAGTCTAGAATGTTATTGTGTATAGATATTACTTCTTGAACATTATGTTCAGAAATGCAAATTACTACACTATAATATAAAATCTGATATATACACATTAGGAAAGTTCTCATTCTCCATAACCGTGTAAAGTTAATCAGAAACAAAAAATTTTATTGATGCAGTGTATCTTTATAAATCTGTTCTTGAAAGCCAAGTGTTTTGTATTTTATAGTGAGCTGCATGTTTATGAAAAATTGCTGATCATGAGATGTGCTTTTCTGTAAATTCATACTTAGCCATAGTATATGATAGATGACCCCTTAACATAGTTTTTCATCAAGAGTTTATAATTGTACTTTATTTTGGAGCCAAAAAAAAATTGTTTTTGGGGGGAGAGGCTGGGTGGCAGTGATTTATCTGTTTGGGCTGAGACTTGAGGCATCACACTCACAAGCACTGAGAGAGTCCCACTGCATCCAGAACAGGAAAGATGGAAATTTGCCTGGATTTAATTTAGAGGTCTGCACAGTCTAAAAATGGATTATCAAGGCAGTGCTCTTTACATAGGGTCTGAACCAAAATGTGTTGGTCACTACCTTATGCTCACCTGAATTAACTTTAGATTTATGGGTGCAGGGTTGTATTTGCACAATTGTTAACAATAGAAAAGAAAAGGACATTCTGAGTTACCAAGTTTATTCTATCAGATAACAGCAGTTTCACGTAGTACACCTTTCTGTTTAAGGTATGTTTCCGGAATTGGGTATAAGAAGTTGGGTATAAAGAAGTGACTATTTTAGAAATGACATCGTGCTATTTTCTAGTATGTATCGCAAAGGGTGGGATTATTTTTCTTTTTAATATTTCCTCATGTGTATGAAACACTTTATTTTTAAGAAGATGTTTGAATTGTGTCTTAATCCTTCAGTGTTTAACTTTCTTCATTTGCAACAGTGTCAGCACCAGTGGTGATGGAGGCCACTGTCTGTCAAGACAACTAATGCTGGATTATGATACTTTGAATTTTAAATGTTTCATTAGCTCAGCTCTCCAAACAATGATGTTTCAATTTCAACAGTACAGAAGCATGTTTTTAAATTTATGGCATAAATAATAAAGGATAGCATTGTATTTTTGTCATCAACTAAACGTCATTGGAAATATTTATGGAAATATATGTTCAAAACCATTTTATAAACTATACAAAATGATTATGGAGGATTTTTGTTTGCATGATCATAGTTCACCAAATGTCCTTGCACATTAAGGCTCATGACAAACATTGTCATTGTAGATTCTGTTCGTGTTCAGTGCCAAGGAGTATGTAATTTTACAACCCGCCTGTTCACTTTTTGGGAGAATTATAACGTAAAATTTCCATTTTTGTGTAGAGAAATAGGTGCAATAATGATCAAAGTTTTAATGTCCTGAGTCTCCATCTTGGGGGCGTGTTATTATGTTTAAACTTAACACTTCATGTACTAACATTTGGGGAGCCACATACTTTAAAATAAAGCTAAGTATGTATACGACATGAATTGCTAACAGTTGTTAGCACACTGGCAGTGGTCACACTCATTTTGAGAATGTGTACTGTCTGGCATTAAGAACTGTGTAGCTCATTGTAACAAGCCTACTGTGGAATCTGGTGACTCCCAGGTGAACCTTGCTTGCTGCAGTGCAAGCTCTTTCAGTGGTCTCCACTGTGTGTGTAAATTAGAAATGTGCTGTAAAACTTGTTCTAGACATTAAAGTTTAAATGACTTTCTACATCTTCTTACAGTTTGCAAGTCTGACTTTTAAAGGTTCCTTTTGCTTACTGGAAGAACATTGGGGATTTAATGATTTAACTTAGGTATAACTTTACCGCATAGTGTTACGTTATCAATGAACAGTTGGTTCTAGATGACCAGTGTTCAGACAGAGTTTGGGATTTTCTGTGAACTTAAATAAACATAGACACTCATGTAATTATATTTTTATGTGACTCAATATATATTTACTAGAGAAAGTCATGTTTTGTGATTTTTAATTTTAGAGTCATTGTCTCTCAGAGACATCTTTCTAAACTTCATGTTTAAACTTTTCATGCAAAATCTTGCCTTGCAAAAATGTATTAACAACTACTCAAGTTAAAGAATTACATAACTGAAAAAAATTAACATAAAATTTGAAACTAGGGACTATGCAGAGACGTTTCTAGGAAGTTTTATTTGTTCTATAAACGTTATGAACCCACTGTAAGCCAGTCACTCAATTTTTATTCAGAATGAAGTTTGATCAAGACAGACTAATCCCCTGCCTTTGATATTTACGTTGCTTTGGAAGTAAGTTAGTTAAAAAATAAAAGTTGTGGGAAATGCTGTAAATAGCCTGGAACGGTGACTTGGGAAGAACCTGCTACATAGCTAGAAAGTAGTTATTCAGAAGTGAGATCTGGAGCCGCTGTGTGTTTATGACTCTGGTATCTGTAACTTCAGGGCATCCCGCTCATACGAGAGTGTTCTGAGGCAGCTGCTCAGTGCTGCTCTAACTGCTGTTTGTAGTTGTTTCTTGGGTTTGCATCCTTATGTTTAAAGTGTGTCTGTGGGGCTTGTTGATATGGGGACCTGTCCTTTATCTGATCTTCTAAAGAGGATAAATCCTTTTGATTAGTTGTAAAATGTAAATTAACTTTTGTTTCTCCTGTTGCTTTTTTTCTGCCTTGTCTGGCCTTTATTTTCTTAAACCTTTAGCTCTGTTTACTTGTTTTATTTGGTTGTGTTCTTTAATGGTTTCCCTGCAGATTACAGTAGACATTTGACTTCCTATAGGCTGGTATTCTGGTGCATTTACCATCTTTACCACAAATGGGACGTTCCTAACAGCTCAACCGTGTGCTACTACTTTGCGCAATAGCCAGTATATATGCATTTGATGGTTATTATTCGATAGCACTGTTGCGTACTGTTCTTTCATGTTTATCTGTGCACTTTCTCTTTACTGTTCTGTACTTCACCTCAGTTTATTTTCCTTCAGCATCAAGAGCATTTGAAATTGACTTACTGTGTCGGTCTGCTGGCCATTCGGCAGCCAAATGGCATTCCATTGTCTTCTGGTTTTTACCTTTCCTATGGAGAAGTCAGCTGAGAATCTCTTTACTCTTTGTAGATGAACCTGGGTGTGTAGAGACTGTGACTCCTGTTAAGTCCCTGTCCTGCCAGTCTTCAGTCCTGGTGAATTACCCTGATTATCTCTTGAGTCTTTCTATTTTTTTCACTAATGTAAAGTCCCCTTTAATTCAGAGTTACCATTTCTTGGCTTCAAACTGATCTCATATTAACTTTGTCCCACCTCAGCTTTAGTGTCTAGCCTGTTGTGAGTACATCATCTGCTGCTGGTGGCTGCAGACATAAGTCCTGCACCTCCGAGTGCTTTGCACCTCCGAGTGCTTTGGTCCATCGTCTCTAGGTACTGAGTTCTATAGTACTTTCATCAGGGTTTGTTCCCATCTAGCCAGGGTTTCCTCCACATTCTGTGTTGGTGGCACCATGCAAAGCCTGTGTCAAGTTACCACTTGCTAGGGTAGAGAGAAAGGGTACAAACTCAAGAAAAATGTGCTTTTCCTAAAGAAGTGACAAGAGACACTAAAAATTGTCTCATTAAAAGTGAAGGAAGTGTTGAGACTCCTTCCTTCTCCATAGATACCATAGTGGGACAGGAAGCAGGCTGGGCAATTGATTTTCAAGGCCCTTCAGCCCCAAGAGAGCCAGTCCCTCTAGCTAGGCCTCACCTCCTGAAGGTCACTACTTCCCAAAACCACACAAACAGTTGTGGGCCAGATAGTCAAACATGAGTCTCTGGCCCACTGTACCCAAACCACAACGTACTACTTCTGCCTGCTTAGGTTTATGGTCCTCTCATAATACAAAAAGTGTGCAGTCTAACTTCTAAAGTCTTAGTTGCAATGTTGCTCAGAAGTTCAGTCTCTTCTGAGAATCAAGGCAGTCTCGTAACTGAAATGAAAATCCAAGACAGCATACATGTAACATATAAGGGGACAGAGTAAGGCAGCATTCCAAAAAGGAAACCATGTGACAGCAAGAAAAGCGAGACCAAGACAGCAGGTCAAGTAGCAAGCCCTACAGTTCCTTGCCCCCACATCAGGTGGGATCATGTGCTCTTGAAGGCTGTGGTAGATCCCAACTCTCACCGGTAGCACATTTGACCTCTCTTGGGTCCTCTCCACTTGGGGCCTGTTGTTTTCCTCAGTGAATGTTCTTGTTGGGGTCTCCACTGTAACTCATACTTCTCTAGACCTCTTGCCTTCCTTGCCAAGAATCTGGTCCTCCCACATGATGCCTGCCCTCGGTGGCTTTGTAAGACCTTGGCCCAAGCTTCCACAGCCTCTTTACCCATTCTTAACCCACACACCACCACCATGTAGATATAACACCAAGTTCTGCTCCTTCAAATGTAGCCTAGTTCTTCTCTGTGCAGCCAGTAAGCACCTGCCTAGCTAATCATAGGCAGTTTTCCATTAGGGAAGGCTGGAGCCTTTGATGGATGGGGCCTTTACCAAGTGCACAGTGGGCCATTTTTTTTTCTTTAATGGCATTAGTTACTACTCCATTGTTAAGTGTTTGTCTTGTCCACAACCTTAACAGTGGCCATAAACCTCCCCCTAGCAGATTACAGTTTTTATATCTTTGTGCTCTCGATGTAGTTCCTAAGAATAATGATCAGTAACCACACCGTAGGCTGCCTGTTACTCTCTTAGAATTTCTTCTGCCAAGCAACTCAGTCTATGACTTTTTAACTCCGCGTCAGTCAGAATTACAGACATGAGTGGAATGCAGCCAGATACTTTGCTCTAATAAACAGGAACATTCTCTAGCTCAGTTCCTGTAGAGCAGTGGTTCTCAGCCTTCCTAATGCTGGGACCCTTTAATACCCTCGTGTGGTAATCCCAGCCATAAAATTATTTTTGTTACTACTTCATAACTAATTTTGCTACTGTTATGAGTCGTAAACATCCAACATGCAGGATATCTGATAAGCGATTCCCATGAAACGATTGTTCAACCCTGCAAGGGGTTGTGACCCAGAGCTTGAGAACCATTGCTGTAGGGCCTCGGTTTTTCTCTGGACCCTCATGAGGTGGACACTGCTGCTGTTTACGTAGCATGCTAAGCCCTTAAAATCTTGCCAGAATTTTGGATGTCTGGGTTTCTCTAGCCTACAGCTCCAACCTCTTCAGCATTCCTCCTGAGGACCATTTCCAAGAGGCTGTGAACCACATGGTCAGGTTTCCGAAACAATGGCCCTATTTCTTGATACCAGTCATCTGTATTGGTGGCAGGCATCTCATTTCTGTGGCAGGATATATGATAAACGCAATGTAAAGGGGGAGGAAGGGGTTGGTTTTCGGTTTGGGGTTCTGGCTCGCAGTTCAAGAGGATCCGAGTCCATCACGGCAGCGGGTGTGGCTCCCGACAGTAGAGCACTCAGCTAGGACAGGAGAGGAAGCAAAGCCTCGCTGTAGACCTTTCCACTCTCACCCTGAGTCCCGTGTTCTAGGTAGGCCCCTTCTCCCAAAGATTCCAAAACTGTCACCAGCCATAGACCATGTGCGTGTTGAGGGCATTTGACATCTTACACGTGACATCTGAATATTAAGGGCTTTGTTCTTTGGGGGATGGAGGCCAGTTTGGATGAAGCAAGTTTATGCACTAGAGTAATTACTTGGAAAAGTGGTTTAGGGGAACATTGGGCTCGGGGGAGGGGTTGGGGAGGGCATGGTTGAAGCCAAGGCTGGCAGAAGAAACAGTGGCAACTTCTTAAAGCATCATACAAGAGTGTGAAGCCAAGGAACATTATAGAGAGGTTTGTCACGACAGGGGACAAAACTGGGCAGTGCAGTTCTACAAAGCACCTCATGCTTCAACACTTGTCCTCGGAAGCTTTTTGCAAATAGAAATTGCTAGGACCAAGTTTCCCAGGACCATTATTCAAATGGCAGATGCTGTGCATGTTGAGGAGCCAGTTAAACTTTAAACAAACAACTTAGAGACAACTCAGAGGAAAGTAGGGAAATAATGCCTGAGATGAACATTTTGATGTTTTTATTGATATCTATATTTTATTGATATCTATTTATTTGATATCTTACAGCTAAGCCATACTCAGTACCTGACTCTCTCTCTCTCTCTCTCTCTCTCTCTCTCTCTCTCTCTCTCTCTCTTTCTTTCTTTCTTTCTTTTTTTTTTCTTTTTTGTTTGTTTTACAAGACAGGGTTTCTCTGGACAACTGAGAGATCTGCTTGCATCTGCCTCCTGAGTGCTGGGATTGACCAGCGTGTGTCACACCCACTGTTGGGCACTGTCTGTCCTCCTTTTCCTTCATACTCTGTAAAAGTGGTTTCTGTCAATACACTAGTGTGCTGTGTCCTTTGTAGACACTACATGGCACTGCTTGGGAAGGCCGTGATTATTGTCACTGTTCTGAGGACTATTGCAGCTGTATATCAGCTCTGTGTGCTCACTCGTGACTCTTGTGCTGGTCCTGTGAAGGGGCATGAAGAGACCCCTTGAAGTAATTATATATGTGTCCGTATTGCTTTAGAAAAAGTCTAGCACTATTTGTGTTTTGCTAATTTTGTGGTACAGATACTAGTTTGTTCATTCACTTGTCACTAAAACGGAACAACATTGTCCAAGGTTGTCACTTCTTTAAAACTTAATTTTCTGTGATCCGTATATTTCCTGTTTGTGACCTTTCCCCAAGTCTTTATTTATTTTTTTAATCTTTTTTTTTTTTTGAGGATGGGTTTTCAATTTTACATTTTCCAATTTTCATACCTTGTGTCTTACTTTTCTGTGAAGAGACACCATGACTGACTACGGCATCTTGGGGAAGAACAAGTTTCAGAGGGTGAATCCATGGTCACTGTCAGGAAGCATGGCAGCAGACAGGCAGGGATGGCGCTGGGA